CAGGGGCAGGACAAGAACGAACAGTCATCAAATGGAGTTCGAGTGTGTCTCTTCCACTTCTCAGTCCACAGGAGCAAGAGAGAGAGTTTCGACTTGCAGGAGATGATTTACAGAGCACTATACCGCTCTGATACCATGTTCCAATCACCAGAGCAGTGGGCGAAGAGGAGAGGAGGAGAAGAGAAGGGGAGAAGAGAAAAAGAGATCAAGAGAAAACTAAAAACTTCTTTTGGGGGCGCCAGTATTTTGGGTGACCGTACAAACTTAAAAGAAGAAAAAAGACCAAAATGCTCCTTGCGGCATACACCAAATATTACATCATATTATCCTTTGTCCTTCATGTTCTCAAACTTAGCACTAACCTTTTATCTATTAGTAGTTTAACAAAATCAATGAACTGCAACATAACCTTCTTTCCTACTTATTGTGTTTTTCAGGACCTGAAGTCTCAGAAGACGATTGGGAGTGGCCATGAGGCGAATGAGATATACTTGTTGGATGTCTCTGATCAAAGTCCTGGATTACCTAGTGGAGTAGCTTTGGAGTCTGTTTTGTCAGAGTCAATTAATAGAGTCATGATATGTCATTTCAGATTTGGTCATTTGTCTTTTTCAGCTTCGAGTCATTTGTTTCCAGAAATGTTTAAGGGAATATCCCTATTGAGTCTTCATTGTGAGTCATGTGAACTTGCAAAACATTGTAGACAATCTTTTCTAGTGAGTAATAAAAGATTTGTTTCTCCTTTCCATATTGTGCACTCTAATGTGTGGGGGCCATATCATTTACCTACTATGGGGGTTACAAATATTTCATTCTTTTCATTGATGATTTCTCTCGTTACACCTGGATTTACCTTATGAAATCCAGGGATGAAGTACCAAATATTGTACAAAAATTTCATGAATTTATACTTACCCAGTTTAACACTCGGATCAAAATATTTCGATCCGATAATGCAAAGGAATATTTCGAGAAGAGCCTTTCCTCCTACTTTGATACCTTTGGAGTTATTCATCAGAGTTCTTGTTCCTACACACCTCAACAAAATGGAGTGGYGGAAAGGAAGAACAAACATGTGGTTGAGGTTGCAAGGAGCCTCCATTTTGCTTCCCATGTTCCTGTTAAGTTTTGGGGTGATGCTGTCCTTACAACTACATACTTGATAAACTGAATGCCTTCTCAGGTTTTGGGGTTTAAAACTCCCTTTATCTTGCTTTTCCCAAATGAGGACCTCTTCTCTCTTCCTCTCAAGGTGCTTGGGTGCACTTGCTATGTTCATGTTCACAGTCATCAAAGACATAAGTTTGAGCCTAAAGCACACAAGTGTATCCTTTTGGGATATGCCTCCACACAGAAGGGGTACTGCTGTTTTGATCAAGTTTGTGGCACTCGCTTTGTTTCTAGAGAAATCACATTTGCAGAGTTTGTTCCTTTCTTTGGTACTTCTCTTGAGGGGGAGCATTCAGAGGAGTTGTTTGCATTGTCACCATTTGTTCCTCTTCCAATTCCCATTGAATCTTCTATAGAGTCTCCTCCAGTTGAATCATCTATTGGCTCTTCTTCTCATGTTCCTGCTCCCCCTCCTCTTCCTGCTCTTCCCCCTACTTTTCCTTCCCATCCTATTATCCAAAGGTGGTACCAAAGACAAAGACTCAGAGACATGGAAGTTGTTTCCACGCCTTCAAATGTGCCTCTTGCTCTCAGATACCTTCCCTGACCTTGATCTCCCTATTTCCCTTCGCAAAGGCAAACGGAAATGTACAGCTCATTGCATTTCCAAACACTTGTCCTACAACCTTCTTTCCCCTTCCTACTATTCTTTCCTTGCCTTTGTTTCCACACATGTGACTCCCAGATCTGTCCCAGATGCCTTGTCCAAACCAGAACGGAGGGATGCTATGATGACTGAACTAGATGCTTTGCATAAGCACAATACCTGGGAAATTGTGGATTTGCCTGAGGAAAAGGACCCGATTGGCTGTAAGTGGGTGTTCACTATTAAGTATCATCTAATAGTATTGTTGAGAGATAAGGCCCGTTTGGTTGCTAAAGGATATACTTAGATGTATGGTATTAACTACTTAGAAACTTTTGCCCCAGTAGCCAAGATGACTTCAGTTCGAGTTTTGCTATCTTTAGCTACTACTTTTAATTGGCCACTTCATCAGTTTGATGTAAAGAATGCTTTTTTGAATGGGGACCTAGATGAAGAGGTCTATATGTCTTTACCTCCAGGGGTTTATGGGAAGGAAATGCAAGGAAAGGTCTATAAACTGAAGAAGTCTCTTTATGGCCTTAAGCAATCTACTAGAGCCTGGTTTGACAAATTTCGGGCTGCTCTTGTTGCTTTTGGGTACACACAGACTCAGTCGGATCATACCTTGTTTGTTAAGAGGAGAGATTCCTTAGTGACCCTTCTGATTGTCTATGTTGATGATATTGTGGTTACTGCTAATGATACTCAGGAAGTTGTTCATCTCAAAAGTTTTCTTAACACTGAGTTTGAAATTAAAGACTTGGGAGAACTCAAGATATTTCTTGGGAATTGAAGTTGCCAGATCTAAGGATGGTATCTTCATTTCTCAACGGAAGTATGTTCTTGATCTCCTTGCAGAGACTAGCAAACTGGGTGCTCGACCTGCTTCTACTCCTATAGACCTAAATCATACGTTGTCAGCTACTGAAGGTGAATTGTTGCCTGATAAGGGAGTGTTCCAGAGATTGGTCTGGAAGTTATTATACCTTTGCATGACTTGGCCAGATATTTCCTATGCAATTAGTGTAATCAACCAGTTTATGCATTCTCCCAGAGATACACATTTAGCAGCTACTGAGAGAGTTTTGTGCTATCTAAAAGGGGCTTTAGGGAAAGGTATCTTGTTTGCTAAGCATGGACACATGAAGCTGGAAGCATACACTGATGCTGATTGGGCCGGATGTATTGATGATAGGAGGTCCACTTCAGGTTACTGTGCTATGGTACCTGGGGACATTGTATCATGGAGGAGTAAGAAGCAGTCTGTAGTGGCAAGATCCTCAGCTGAAGTGAAGTACAGGGTAATGGCACATGGAGTTTCTAAACTTTTGTGGTTAAGATCACTTTTAAATGAATTGGGTATAGACTATGAGAAGCCAATGATGTTATATTGTGACAATTAGACTGCTATCAACGTTGCACATAATCCTGTTCAACATGGCAGAACTAAGCACATTGAAGTTGACAAGCATTATACAAGAGAGAGTTGCCTCAAGAGAAGTTTGTCTACCATTTGTTGCTTCTGAAGAATAGTTGGCTGATGTTTTGACAAAAGGTGTTCCTAAAGGAAAGTTGGTTCACTATATAAGCAAGCTGGGCATGATGGATATTTATGCTCAGCTTGAGGGGGAGCGTAGAGAGATTGGGCCGAATGGGCCCTAGCCCATTATTGTCTTTCTTATTAGTTCTTTCTTGTTATGTTTTATTATTGGGCCTTTACTTTATGGGCCTTTAGCTCTTGTTTATGTTTTCTAAGTATAGTGCTGATGTGGACGCCTACTTAAGGGCAATCCTGTAAATTATGTAACTTAAGTAAGTTTATTAAAAGATTAGTGGGGGAAAGAGGAGATTATCGAACTCCTTTCTTTCTCCTTTCTTCTCCAATCTTCCTTCTTCTTCTTGTTGTCTCCTTCTTCCTTACTTTCTTTTTCTTTAATCTAAATTATTCTGCTAATTTTATTGGTTTGAATCACATCTACTGATGAACCGGTCCGGGTTTCATAAAACCACCCAGGCCCATGCATAAGTGAAATTTTAAAATGTAGTTAACAAGACCAGATCCCAAGAACTCTTATTTTCACACATTACTTAATTACCACTAACCCACCTCTTAATGACTCTTTATTGTACATATTACATTATTATGCATGTATTTTAAAGAAAATGTAAATTAGAAGGCCTGAACCCTAGTCATTTGTTTTAAAAATTAAGAAGCTTACCATCCATCCACCATATTTAAGTATATTAAAAGTTGTAAAATATATTATATATAGTATTTATATGACCCGTAGCATATATATATATATACATGGTTCGACCCCGGTTGAACCTTTGACCCGTGAACCTCTCCCTTTACCGATTCTATGCCCAGTCTAGTTCCCTGAACATTGCTTCTGACATACATAGACCTAACCAGGCAACATATATGCCATCTTAACTACTTAAAATAAACATGGGACCACAAATTTATTAAAAATATTACACACTAAAACAAGAAGAAAGGAGGAAAGGAGAGTCAAAGTTGCTGCCATGAAAGGGAGAGGTAGATGGTGAGAAACCTTAACCAACTATTAGAACAGAAAATAGAGGAAGAAACCTTAACCAACCTATTAGAACAGAAAATAGAGGAAGAAACCTTAACTAACCTATTGGAACAGAAAAATAGAAGAAGAAACCTTAACCGACCTATTGAGAGAGGCTTCTGGCTTACATAGACCTAACCAGGCAACATATATGCAATCTAAACTACTTAAAATAAACATGGGACCACAAATTTATTAAAGATATTACACACTAAAACAAGAAAGGAGGAAAGGAGAGTCAAAGTTGCTGCCATGAAAGGGAGAGGTAGATGGTGAGGTCTCATGTCTTTATTGGTTGAATGTATAGGGCATATTAGGATTTTCAAGCCATCCTCATTCCTATTCTTGATAGGTTGTTTTGCCTTGATAACAGGGGTGCGTATTTTTTCATTTTTGGTTGATGAATTCTCTTCTGGTTTTTTGGGGTGTTTTATGCAGGAGGATTTTTCTTTTTGTTGAAGAAAAGTAAAGAGAGAAGGGTCTTTCTCTCTTTCCCGTGTGTTTTACACCTTGTATACTTTTTGGCTATTTCCGATACTCTTATACTAGTATAGTTACCACTACCGATAAAAAAAATCTATTGTTTCCTGTCGCTATATTGTTTATCGAATGGACCTCTTGCATCTGCATTTCAAGTTCATTCTTTTAGTAATAATTTGCAGGCTGAAGCTGCTGGGAAATTTTTGAATGTAATGAGGCGCTACTTGGAGTCACTATGTTCTGACTTGCAATATCATTCCATCACTAGTGTACAATCAAATAATGACAGGGTTAGTATAATCAAGTCCCTAATTACATTGCACCAAAGAGATATTGAGAATGAGATAAATGCATTGCACCTACCGTTTACAAACTCTTATTACATGGCTGCCTTAAAAGYATACATCTTGTCCTTGTAACTAACACATGACTGTTTGTTATCTTTTCAGGTATCATTACTTCTCAAGGATAGCTTTATCGATTCCTTTCCTAGTAGGGACCGCCCGTTTATTAAGGTATCTACATTTCCAGATTTGATTATCTTTAAAATCTGTGCTTGCAGAGTCCTATATCACAATGATAAAATGCTAGCAGCTGAAATTACATAGTATAAGGCTTTGTCTTTTCTGTGGATAAAACACATTTATTCCTCTAGCTTGCCTCTGATTCTATAAGGCTTCTAGTTCTTGAAATTCCTAGCATCCTTTGCTGCATGTAACACCTTCCATGTTTATATTTTTGTAGCCTCAATAACCATTCTTTTTTTTCCTTATTTGATCCATTTCTGTTCATTGCAACAATATAAGTATATAACTAAATTTCATACACTTTGTCTTGGCCTTATTAGTTATTTCAGAAGAGTGTTTGGTTGTATATCAGTATAAAGTCTTCTGGTTTTAGATATTTTGTGGAATGAATGATGATGAACTAGGACTAAGATCTGAGTAGGATTTTCAGACCTGAAGCACTTAAAAATGGCTGTCATAATTTAACCAGTTGATTTTAAAATTCTAAACAGTGGTCAGGAAAAAAAAAAGTAGAGGATAGAGAAATTGCTGAAGAATGTAATGAATAAATAGATCTCAGATAAAAAAAAAAGAACTTTAGACAAAGAAGACAGGGAAGAGAGAGAGGAGGAAGTCATACCTCCTAAGTACCCGTGAACAAAAAATTCAATTCATAAATCTTTCATCCTTCAGCCCCTACAATTTATTTCAAAGAGAGAAAAAATGAACTGAAAGATTGTTAAATATCTAGCTACTTAACACTTAAGATAAAATCCTATCTTCCACTCACATCCTACCAATAGAATGGGCATAGCATTCCCAAGACACGTTGGACCCACAAGATCTTGGTACAAATCGATTTTAATGATACCAAAATCAACTTAAACAGTCAAGTTCTGGTCCTTGCCTCCTTGGGCTGTAAGAAGTAACATATCTACAACTTAAACTAATCTTTTTTTTTTTTGATAGAAACAACTTAAACTTATCTAATTTCTAAAGGTGCTCTAATATACCCTTTAAACTATTATGGATCTTCTTTTCATCTATAAAACGAATTTATTAAGGAAAGAAAAAGAGAAAATCAGTGGAATGCACAAGGGAGGAATGCAAAAGTAAAATATTAAGACTCCCCCGAAAAAATAAAAATAAAACTACAAGTCTCAGATATACTAGAGTGTTCTTAACCCTACCACACCTAAACAACTAAAAACCAAGGTAAAATACATAGCAGAGTCATGAGCTTAAACTTCCACTTCAAAGTAGTGCAAATAAGACAGAAAAACCACTGCAGTTCAAGTTGTTCCTTATGTTATCGGGATACAACAATGACACAGCTAGATACAGTACCAGATACGAATTTACACTAAAAATTCAAGTATCTGATACATTATAGAACCCTTGTATGTATCCGAGTATCACACCTGATCCTTCTTGAGCTCTTCACCAACTCCCCATTACATTAAGAATTCTATTAGCCTGAAGACTCCCCATAGTTTCATTAGACTTACCTCTCCTATCACATCATTTTTCTCTTTGGATGTGAACTCTTCCAATCATTCTCTCAGTATTGACATCATTATGCCATTACACAAGGTTTTCCTCCCAAGTTCCTATTGATCTCACTTCACCCTCTTCCCTTGTATTGTTATCCCTTAATTAGATCTGATTCATGAAACTGTTATTGCCTCCATCTTTGCAGTTCATTTCCTTCCGTACTTAATTTCTTGTATCCAGGACATCCATGACCCCTAACTCCAAATACACATCTTTCTCTACTTACTCTTTAAACTAGTCACTCCCTCCCTTTGCATGTCTCCAAGGATGAAGCTTTTTCCTTTCTAATCTCTGACAAGGCTCTAGTTGTTAACAATCTGTGTGTAGCACACCCAGATTTGTGGGAGCAATCCTGCCCCCATCCCAAATTCTTCTGATGTCACAGCCTCACCATCTGTTCTCTCACCTTTAGGTCCTTTCCCTGAATACTCCCTATATCAGTAATGAACCAAACATAGTCTAAAGTGACATCAAGATGACCTTAATTGGGACCATCAAACACTGGGAAATGGTGCATCAGTTTGGCAGGAGATTTAGACAATTATATGGAATAGTTTGTGAAATTGCAAAGTATGAAAATTAATTCCATTAGATTATCAATGATAATTATCAAACTAGTAGGGTTGAGAATCATCAAAAAGATATAGTGAGGATTATTATCCGGTGTGCAATTTGAGCTTTATGTTTTATTATAAAGGGTTTCTTCATGTATAGAGACTGGGCATTAATGATTTTTGTCAAGATACTCCCCACACAATGGGCATTAATGATGCTGAAGGGATGAGAGATCCATCACGGATGGTCGAACCCTGCAGGAAGGTTGGTTGAAATTTCAAAAATTTCTCTCCCGTCTGGGAATCGCATTCCCTATTTTAAAAAACTACATTTTCAAGGATCATTCTTGAAACAAAACCGGACTAGATCTGAAACCAAAAGGAGGAGAGGGATATACCTGATACGAAGTAACAATAACTCCCAATGAAGGTGTTCACGCCCAAGGAGAAAGCCAAAACCCACTTCCACTGAAGATGACACAGTGCGTAGTGAAGCAGGATCAGCAGGATGGCTCTTCAGCAATAACCGAATTCTTCAGCAAGAATGGAGTAAAGGGCTGGTGAGCACGACTTCGGATTGTTTCTTCAGCCAAGAAACAATATCAAGAACTCTTCTTGATAAGTGGAGATCGAACTGGGTAGGGATAGCAAGAACAAGGAGAGAATTCTACAGATTGTTGTGTATAAAACTAAGGAATTCGCCCCCTATTTATAGTCTTCTTTGGATCAGCCTCCTAATCTAATTAGGAGAGAGTTTCTTGATCAAAATCTGATATTTGGATTTGGACTCTTAAATGGATAAGACTTATCTTATCCTTTCAGCTAATCCTAATCAAATTATAAATCAGTTATTGCCTCCTTTTAATTAACCAATTTAAGCCCAGTTCGAATTGGGCTTTAGGCCCATTAAGCCTATGTGCTCACTTACACCTTTAACCTGCTGCCCAGTTGGCTCTATTTGTATGGCGTGGGACCCTTACATCGATCTACACATCAGCCACATGGGTTCAGCCCAGCCTTTGTTACAAAGCCTGGCCGAATTCACTGTAGGAGACAGTGAACCCCTGAGTCCATCACCATGGGCTTTTAATGGGCCCAACATTTACACTAAATGGTCCTTGGGTCCAGCCACCTTATGAAAACCCAAGGACTGTGGGCAGATGCAATATTAGCCCATCAGGTATTACCCTCAATGGTCTTACACTTAACCTCTCAGCCCATAATGATCAAACATTGCCCGACAAGAGAGGACCTCTCCCTCGGCTTCAAGGAACAGTGCCACACTCTCCCGGGAATTAAAACTTTTTGCAAAAAAACAAATTTCAACGTTTGAAATCAATTGTCGGCAGTTTAGGTTTCCATCAGAGAGTGCATCCCCGATCATTCACTTTGTCCGACAAAGGGGCTGATCCTATTACTATGATCACCCACTCAGATGAATTCTCGGACTGTCCCAACATACCCAGGTTTTGACCCCCTCTAAGGATCTCACTGATTGGCATATCAAAGACAGCCCAATCTGACACCTAGTGCAGTACCATAATCGAGTCTAGGGTCAGGTGTAACATTCCAGTTTTGCCCATCTATCTCTAAGGTCCAGGGCAATATTGGAATTTCAGTCTGGTTCAGGGTTTCAAGAAAACCCACATTGCATGCACCTCAGGTCTCACCCTGGCAGTTGAGACAAACCACCCCAACCAACTTGGTGGCACATCGGTGTTAGCCTTGGTAGGATAAATCTCCCCAGATCTATCCAACAGCTGTGAAGATTCTAAACTAACACGAGTCTCATAAGTGTCCTGTTTAAGGGTATTACACAGAAACATACCAAAACACATGAATCAATTATGTACTTTTATTCATTTACAATAAATGTCATCAAGTACATCAATCTGATTGGAGCTAAGGGCATACATTGTCTAACAGATGCTTACCAAGAATTCAATGTAGATAATCACAAAAAAGTTCAATATACATAATATGAGAAAAAGGCTTTAAGGCAAGATAAATTCATATTTAAATGAAAAACAATATGATTAATGGATACTATTTGCTCTGTACAAGAAAAGTTATGTATTTTGGTATTGCCACAAAGGTTGACCTCATTGGCATAGTATGGGTTGGTTTCTTGCATAGTTGCATTAATGTTTCTTGTGTCATAGCTTGCTCAACACTCCTACAGCATTTCTTATTTGGTTTTCAAAGAAGACATGGCCAATGACAAATCCTACATGCCAAGAAAGGGTTGTAAAGGGATGTCAAAGCTTCTCCCTTACATTACATGGTTTCCATTGATGAGAGGGAGGTACAAGGGTGAGCAATTTGGGAAGTTCTTTGATGCATCCTTAATCAGTAATCACTGATTCTGCACTTGTATCTTCAATTTTTACTTTTACTTTTATTTTTATTTTTGTGTCGGGATCTGGTCCCAAAAGCCACTGCAGCTACATATCAGGGWCATGTCCCTTGTCCTTCATGGCAAGATGTTCCTGATGTACAGCTGCAATGGCTATTGGGACCATGTCTTGGGACCAGATATGAACACTTTATTTCATACCAATAAGATCCGTGGATCTAGTTTTTTAGACATTTTCTGCTTGGTCATCCAAAGCTCTTTCTCTACCCTAGTTGAGCAAATGCTATTCCCATTATTTGCCTTTGGGAGGTGGCTCTTCATTTTAAGGGCATTCCAGACAAACCAATTTACTTGGTCATTGAGTAACAAGTTGTCTTCCTCCAATTAATAGTTACCCCTGTAGCACTAGTGTGGCTTTTCTGGTCAGGATAACTCATTATTTCCAAGGAGACGCATGAGTGTCACTTGGGTATGACATTAGAAACAGAAGCCCATGCATCAGTTTGGATAATATCCTGATAAGCTGAGCATGGACTCCTTTAAGATCAATACAAGAACAAGGTACAAAAATACTTTGATCTTTGGCACCAATTCTTCAGTATATTTTAGGCATATTTGATGCATGTATTGTGGATGCTTTTGTTGGAAAGGAATACAGTCGCAGACAGCAGCAGTAATGGGCGTTAGATTCAGTGTTCCTATCTCATCTTATCTCTTARCTAGATTCAGTGTTCCTATCATATCTCTTAGCTAGATTCAGTGTTCCTATCTTATCTCTTAGCTAAATTCAGTATTCCTATTAATTAGGCAGTAGCATTATTATTTCCTATGTCTTTTAGAAAGTTTCTTAATGTTTTTTTAGAAAGTTTCCTTAAGAAGGACTCTTGTAATTCCTATTTAAAGGAGCAGATGTTATTCAATAAAACTATCGATAATTTCAGTCAAGAAAGAGCAGAGGAGAGTTGGTGATCTCTTTAACAAATCACCATAAAGGCGCTAAAGATAGGTTCCTCGAGAAAAGGGAGAAACAAGGGAAAACAATAAGTTTTCCCTGTTAACCGACCTGTGACGAGATCCTATTCGTGGGCCCTTAACAGCATGTATATAGTTAATGTTATGGATATGAGCACTAGTATTGAGAAATAAATTTGACTCTTTCTCTGTATTGGCACAAAAATTCCATCAGTGGTTCCAATACAATAACTGGTTTTGGTACCATAGAATTTTTATATTACCGAAGTGATGTGATAAACACGATGAAGTGAAAGGTAGGTATGGGATAGGTAGGCTTATTATGGCTAATAAACTATTTAATAAGACAATGAAAACAAATAAGATGTGAAATGAATGGAAAAAGAGCATTATGGTGCCTATATTTAAAAGAAAAAGGGTGTTATTACAAATCTGTGATAATTACCGTGGAATTAAAGTCATGAACCACATGTAAAACTTTGGGAGAAAATAATTGAACAAAGGTTACAACATGTAACAAGTGTATCAGAAAACCAATTTGGGTTTATGCAAGGGGGATCAACCTTGGAAGCTATCTTTATTTTGAGACAATTGATAGAAAGTTTAGAGAGAACAAGAGAAATCTTCATACGGTTTTAATTGATCTAGAGAAAGCATATGATAGAGTCCCTAAGGAGGTAATGTGGTGGTTCTAGAAAAGAAAGGAGTCCCAAATAGGTAAACACAGATCTACAGACAGTTTTTCAGAAAATTTTGGGGAAAATGTTTCCTTGGCTAGCAGTAAACACTCTGTTTATGGACAGAAATTATAACTTTTTTCTTTTTTTTTTTTTTTGCTATTGAGGATCTTTTTGTAAATCAGGGTTTGGGGGTATAGGTCTGCATGGGGCATCATTTGTAAATCCCTGTGTACAGCTCCTTGTTGTACATGATTTTTTGCTATATTTTAATGATATTATACTTACCTGGTTCAAAAAAAGCAAACAAAAAAGTACATTGGAAATAAGAGGTTTTAACAAAGAACTAAAACAGATAATATGCTTTGTAAATTTAATAATAATAGGAGTGCAAACCATGGTACAGTTAGGATTGGAGACCAAGAGATACTGTGATCTCTACCTTGGTTCAATAATTCACTACAAAGGGGCAACTGAGGAGGAAATTCACTCATAGGATTAGAGCAGGATGGGCAAAATGGTGGAGGGGTACATCTACTTTCTTTATGTGATAGGATAAAACCAGTTCAGCTAAAAGGAAATTCTATAAAACAGTTGTAAGGCCGGCTGTGTTGTATGGACTATTGAGCAGTGTTGTGTAGTTAAGAAACAGCATGTCCAAGAACTGAATGTGACAAAAATGTGTATGATTAGATGAATGGTAAAACTAGGAAGGACTAGGTCAGAAATGAAGTCATACGAAGGAACCTAAAGTAGCTCCAACTCCAATAGGGTGATAAAATGAGAGAAATACTGACTGAGGTGGCATGGTCACATGCATAGAAAGCCATCTACAGCACCCATTAGAAGAAGTAATCTGTTACAAAGTGAAGGGTTAGTCAGATATGAGTTATGTGACCATACTTTGATTATGGATGTGGCATTGAACAGAACTGAATGGTAAAACAGGATTCATTTAGCCAACCCCATATAGTTGGGAAAGGCTCAGATGATTACTTGCAGAGCATTTTACAATATAATCTGCTAGAATGTACAGCAAATTTCAGGAACTAACAAATGGCAGTGAAGTGTCCTTGCAGTAACTGATGCAAGTATTAGTTTGCTAAATCATTTTCATGTATTAATACACTTGAGTATTAGAGAAAGCTGGGTAACGTAAATAGTTAGACTTTTTTATTGTGAGATTAGGATGGATGTTTGGGTTCTCTTCTAGAATTTGGCAACTATATATAAATGCTTTAAATTAAAGTCCTTWTTGAATTTGGTTCTTACACAGTGCAAGTGTAGTGTAATAGTCCGATTTGAGTTGAATTTAGTCATTGAATCTATTTATGTTAGTCTTTATTATGGGTATTCAATTTGTAATGGCTTTCTAGCTATAATTTTTACTGCCAGATTGTGTCATTTCTTTGTTGCTATCTTGAACTTGATCAGTCTGGTGAGAATCCTTGATGTTAATCAATACGCACTCTCTGTCTCTTACCATAAGGCCAGCATGAGTAACCCACAAGTTTACTGGTTTTGCAGCTATTGGTAGACACACAACTTTTCTCAGTTCTGTCAGATTCTCGACTCTCAAGTTATGAGAATGTGAATTTATAATTTCTAACTTAACAACGTATTAAAAGTTCTATACATAGTTTGGAGCTCCGGGATGTAAGGTAAGAAAGTAATCAGCCTGAAGCAAGAAAAGCGTGGAGGAACTGGACTGTTGTGGCTGATGGATCAAGAATGGTTGACATGATTATTGAAAGCCTTTCTGGTATCAACTTGAGCATTCTCGTGGCTTTGGAGCTGTTAACTGGGAAATTATTTAAAGATGAAAATTACCAAAATTAATTTCTGTAACATATGCCATTTTAATAATTATGGGCCCCAAACAGTGTGCCTCGGTGACTGTTTTACTGTCCATGGGCTCATTGGTCCTCATCCCAAATATTTATAGGGGGATGTGATTGGTGCCAGGTTTGTCAAAGATCTGTCTCACCTGCAACTATTGTAAAATTGTAAACCAATAAAACATGGATTGAGCAAGTCTGCAGTCATATATCCTGTACATGTACACTACTTTATTTATTTKCTTTGAGTTCGGGGTTCAAGGAAACAACACCAATGCAAAATCACCAGCTAATAAGTGAGAAAAATACGTCAAACTAAATATACCGAGGCATCAAGTTCATACCTATAAGAAACTGTTTACGTCCTTGACAAATGCCGTTTGGGTTTTAAAATCTTCAATTTAGCATTTTAGGTTTTTGAAAGATCTGGTATATATTTGCACGAACCTTCAGAAACTCTTAACCTATCTCTTTTTAAATCACTTTGGAGAGATTCAAGTATGTTTTCCCTTTGGTTTCCAAAACTTTCTTCTATTGTCAAGATGAGTATTAGACGATGCCAACATCCTAGAATTGCAAACAAGGACGTTTCAGATTTTAAATGCCTTCTTTTCTTTTCCTTGACCTATCATTAAATCTCAAATCATGTTGGAACTTCAAAACTTGCTGCTGCCATTCATTAAAGGCTGCTTTTGGGTTGTAAATAGCATCCCTTTTTCAGGTACATATATTATCAAACGATAGGGTATATATTTGGTTAATCAATTTGAGTGAGGGTATATGTTATCGGATATGTCCCTATCCGAATTCAATTGGATCCATGTTTCTGCTTTGTAGTAACAATTTCAGTATTTCTTGCAAATAAAATTGCTCGCTTTTAAAACTCTATACAAAATGTTTTGTATACATAAAAGAATATATATGTACTTGATGGTTTGACCTATTTCAATTTCAAAGTATCCATTCACCCAATATTCGCATCAATGCATATGGTGTTTTAAAGGGCACCCTCCCCCTTTTTTGAGTTTTTTTTTTTTTTTTTTTCTTTCAAATTTTTACAGAGCTTCGGTCTTAGGCTAGCTACCTCTAAACTTAGTCAAAACCCAAAACCCCTTTGGTTTGAGAGAGAGAGAGTGGGAGTTTTTTCTTTCTTTCGACAACTAAAGAGAGTAAATTATAATATTAAGATATTTACAAGTGGGGTTTGACTATGATATGGAAAAGATATAATATCTAAAAATATTTTGACCAATCAATTGGTATCATAAATGTGATAGTCAATCATGTATTATTTATCAAAATTCATGGGTGGGTTTTGATTGGTCAAAACTCTTCTCATACCATATCTTTATAGATTTTTCCTTACAAGTATCCTTACATCTGGGGTAAATTATAACATGAGCCAAGCAGTTAAATTTTCTATTTATATAACAAAAAGTAATGGAGGAGAAATCGGTCAAAAGAGCCCTGATCTTCAACAAAAACCAAAGGCAGGACGAGGGGAGAGACGTCTTCCTTTGAAGCGCCTGAATTACTTGGAGGGAGTCTGAACAGAGAGCTATGTGTTCTTTATTTCTCTCCTTTGCTAGAGTCGCTCCCTGAAAGATGGCATGCAACTCAGCCTCCTCAACTAAACCTCGGCTTGATGCTTTCCCTGCTAAGATACCTAGACAGTCAAAGAGAATTAGAAGCACAAATCACTCCAAATGAACAATATGTAGATGAAATGATCCCTCCATCCGTAAATAGAATCAGTTGGATATGAGGAGGAATCTTCAAAGGAAATTTTTCCAAAACATTTTGGCACTACTATCTTGCTCAATTAATTGATCCATCTTTGGGAGGTTGTTGATTCTCTCCACAACCCAGTTAGCCGAGATATGATGGTCTTTAAAGCATTTTTTGTTTCTAGCAACCCATATATATAGAAAGCAACAGCAATCCACGATAAAATCAAGTTTAACCAAGATGTTTGGAAGAGATTTTGGAAATTGATATTCTACGTGGCTGTGAACAATACTGCTCTGGCAAAGGGACAAGTGAAGAACAGATGGTTGATAGACTCTGGCTCCTGGTTGCAAAGATTGCAACCAGGACAAAATTGTTCACAACAAGAAACTCTCTTGGACAATTGTTATAAAATCTTTTTTGAAGAAGTGGGCTTTTTGGTGAGCCCAAACTCTTAGGTCCCTATAAACAGTGTTCCTTGGGTCCAAGAGCAACCAAATTTCTCCTTGATTCCCCAACCCAGTCCAGGGCCCATTAGAAACTCTCTTGTATATGATTTTATTCATAATGAAGATTGGAACAAGGACCTCCTCCAATCCTTCTTTTTTAAACAAGAAGTTCGGAAAATCCTAAGTACCCCCATTTACCCCTTAGAGAGTCCTACTTCCTGGATCTGGCTGCATCACCCCACGATGTTCCAATCGCTTTCCACAAGGGCAAACTTCCTCCTTTAATAGAGTATGGGAACAACATATCTTTTTTGAGGTATTTTGATTTCCAGATTTACGCCCAAAGACAATGTTGTTCATTTAGAAACCTCCAGGCCAGCTTTTTTAACAACACCAAGTTGACCCATTTTAGGTTCCTGAAACCCAGACCACCCTTTTGTTTTGGGAGGGTTAACTTGGACCACGAACACCATATAAAAGGGTCAGGATTTGAATCTTTTTTCCTCCACCAGAAATTCCTAATTTTCTTATCCATTTCATTTACAGGTTTTTAGGGGAATTCCACTACGTTCATAGCGTGGTTAGGAAGATCCTGGAGCACAAACTGAATTAAGGTCTTTTTGCCTACTTGGCTTAAGGTTGACGCTTTCTAGGTATTCAACTTCGAACTTAAACTGTCTAAGATAAACGAAAGATTATTATGTCTATTCCTAGACCAATGCAAAGGGATTCCCAGATATTTGGTTCTAGGTTCAAGAGGTTTCTTGTGAAGCTAATGGTTAATCATCCTCCAAAATCTAGGGTGTAGGTTTTTGCTGAAAGTTATGCTCGATTGTTCAAAATTTATGCTTTGGAAAGACAAGGTTTGGAATTGATCTAGGGTATCTTTTAGGTTTTCCAAATCCTGCCTATGGACTCTCAGAAAAATCATGATGTCATCTACGAAGAAAAGGTGGGAAATACGAGGTCCACTAGGAGCCAAGTGGATACCCTGAATTTTACCTTCAACTTTAGATTTTGAGAGGAGTCTAGACAATCCTTCCATGGCTTGAATGAAGAGATAAGGGGAGATATGATCCCCTTGTTTGAGACCTCTAGTAGGAGAGAAATGACTTTCAGCTACTCCATTGATAAGGACAGAAAAAAACACTAATGAGATACATTCTTTGATGATCTAACAAAAGTCCAAGGAGAAGCCCTGACCTCTCAAAATTCCCAAGGGATAAGACCACTCCAGATGGTCATAGGCTTTTGATAAGTCCAATTTTAGAGCTACATAAGTCATACCCCTTTGTGTGATTTCAAAAAGTGGAACATTCCCAAAGTAATAACTAGGTTGTCTGTCATTTGCCTTCCTAGGACAAATGTTGCTTGAATAGGGGCAATACACTTATCTAAGAGAGGCCTGAGTCCATTTGCTATGACTTTTGCCAGGACTTTGTACAAGACATTGCAAAGACTTATAGGCCAATAGTCTTGGACTTTTGAGCAATCCACATTTTTAGGAATAAGACAAATGAAAGTGTGGTTCAATCTACGAGCATCTTTGTGTTTAAAAAGAATTCTTGGACAAAGGTCACTATCTTTGAACCCATTAGGCTCCAAAATTCTTCATACACCAAAGATGGCACACCATCATGACCTAGAGACTTGAGGTTTCCTATACTAAAAAGGGCACTTTTGACTTCTTCCTCTGAGGGTACTGTGAGGAGGGCTAGGTTATCCTCTTCTGAGACTATCAAGTTTAGAAAGTGTGAACAATCTATTGTCTTACTATTACCCTAAGAGGAGAAAAGGTCTGAGAAGTATGAAATGAACTTGTTCACCACTTGTTTGTGGTATGACACCCAAATCCCCTTGTTATTGTTCACTCCATCAATGTAGTTTTTTTTTTTTATGAAAGATTGTACTCTTGTAAAAAAAAAGGATGTGTTTTTATCCCCTAGTTGAAGCCAAAGTTGTCTTGATTTCTAGTGCCAAAAACTTTCAATCTGGGGTGATGCAAGATCCCATTGATTGTACAAATCTTTCAACCTCCTGTGATCACCTAAATGGGATTGTTCTACCAACGTAATTTGGTTTTCTATTTCCCTCAGTTGGCTTTGTGGGCTCTTGGAAGTATTTTTATTCCAAGCAATTAGATATTTTTTTGATACGATCATGCCTTACTGCTAGCTTATAGGTTGCACACCCATTTAATTGAAGGTTCCAGCCTTCCTCAATAACTTGCTTACATGACTGATGGTATAACCACACTTCAAAGAAATGGAATGGTTTTGGAAGCTGATTTCTTTTTGGATTGGTACCCAGGACAATTGGGTGGTGATCTAATCGCCACATGTTCGAGAGGGAGAGAGAGAAAAGCATCCTCCTCTTTTTCTCTTATTAGACCAAGTTAATCCACCCCCTTTAACACTTAATTCCAAAAGGTTCAAGTCAAGAATTAAGTTCTTATATTGTCTCGAAATCCCATTGGTGTCTCTTGAGGAGATTGGGTCCTAGACCTCCATAGTTTTAGCTTCATTAAAATCTACTATGAGCACAAAAGGAAGATATACAACTTCTAGCCAATATCTTAAATTTTCCAAAAACGATTACGATGAGCCTTAATAAATGGCCCATATATAAAACCAATAAGAAAATCATTTAATAGAGGATAGGGAGAAAGTTTTAAAAACTCATACCTTGCACTCACCAAAAAAAGGCACTTGAAAGCTAAAGTTCAAAAAGACAACTAGGCCTCCCACTCTCCCTTTAGGAGGAATTAACTAAGAGTGGGAGTACTTCAAAGAATTGCCTAATCTATCAATTTTCTCACTTGGGATTTTGGCTTCACAAGAAATGAAATTTGGGTTATGCTTCTTGACCATATCCATAAGGCCTTGAACTGCCTTGGGGCGAGCTGCCCCACAACAATTCTAGCTCAGGATCAACATTGGCGGTGGTGTGGCTATAGAAGGCCAGCCACCACCGCCCTTTTGCATTAAAATGGTTGTTTGTAAATAGTAAAGCCCTATTCTGGTAGAGAAAGAAAGCTACCTATAGAGGAGGACCCTCCAACATACGCAAACCCTCGATTTCCTTTGAGTTCTCGAGTTGGCCTTCATTCTCTATGCTCACTAATCTGACAAGGTCCTCTTGGACTCTCGAGGGTTTTGGCCAGTCATACACAGGAAGGTTTGGTCTTTCAATTTTCACTTTTAACAGAGAGACAAGTTCTATTCTCGGCCGTTTACCTCGAGTTGAGGTGGAAGAGCTAGGAAGGTCTAGAGAGAGAATATTAGGCATTGTGGTTTACACCTGAGAAGCCAGCCTAAAAGTTTTTAGAGAAACTCTCACCCTCGGGTTAGAGGGAGACTGACTAGTTGCTTCCACATTCAAAGCCGTTGGTGGGAATACAACAAGGGAGCCATCTAGATTATCATGAGGTGGGAATAATTGTGAGGAACATCTTCATTCTGCAGGGGCTGGTCAAGTTGTTCTTGGTTGAGATGAGGGTGTTTGTAAGGTGGATGAAGTCTCTAAACTGTTGTCTCTACCAAATTCTACACACGACCAATTCAGCATGAAGCCAAGGTCTAGGTAGGTCCATGGGTTACAGTTAAAATACTGATCAAGGGATCTATTGTTGGTCCTTGATAGGGCTTGGGAGCATTGGAACAAATGGCCTATCTTGCCACACAGATAACAAACCCAAGGCAAAAACCTTCATATCGGTAGGTTACCCAGGACCCATGATTTCAGGATTATCCACTGACCATTCAATTGCTAAGGTCCTCCAGCACTAGTCCTTTCATAATCATCCTCAAATCGAAACCTCAAGCGAAAGTGACTTCACTGAAGTGGGGTTATTAGAAGTCTATTTGGTCCTAGTCTTAGAGATTGTAAAGGCCTTGTTCTAATTCATTAAATTGGTTAGTTAGAAAAGGGAATAGAGGCCGATGAAATAAAATTGTCAGTAGTCATGGAGGCCCAAGGGTATATGGTCCTAAATGTTTACGAGGTCAACCCCTAGATTATTTTCCCCTTGGAGCATCTTCTGAAAGGCTTCATTGAGTGTGTTAAGATCATCCATGCTGGTAGAGGGGTAGAGGGGTGAAAGGAGGTAGCTAAAACGAGGGCAGTAGAGGGCCAAGAAGAATGAAAACTAGCAAGGAGAGAAAGTAGAAAGGAAGAAGGAAGAGAACTAGAGGCTAAAAGGAGAAAGTGATGGATTGTTGAAAAGAAAGGGAAGTTCAACAAGACTATAGTCCACCTAACCTTCACTAAGTGGTGAGCCCACTGAAAAAACGCAATGGGAAAGCCAAGACAAGGGATTTCTCACTTACCCCAGAAAAGATAGCAAAAGGTTAAAATAAACTAGAAAACTGGAGAGAAGATCACCCACTCAATAGGATGAGGAAATAGAAACTTTTAAGGAAACTAAAAACCTAGTTACCATTGCTCTCAACCATTAAAAGCAACAACATAGGCCGTAGGAAAAATAACTATGCATATTAGTTGAAGTAACTAGAAACTTACTTGTTATGGTAGTTAAAGTTGGGATACAAATCGCCATAAACTTCCCTGAACAAACTCTGTGAGTACTTCCTAGAAATGATGAAGCCAGTATTTCAAAAGTGTTCGAAGGAATGAAATTGATTTATTGGCATCAAAAGTGTGTCGGTGATACTTTGATACTAAAAGTCAGTCCCTTAGGGTTTCTCCACCCTACAAACAATAGTCAAGTGAGAGATGGTCTTCACTTGTCTTGGATAAATTGGGGCTTGGGTTGAGTTAAGAGAGCTTCAGCTCAATCAAAATTGAAGCCATCTCAAATAGGCTCTTATTCCATCTAATATTCTCAATTTGATGGGTTGAAAGAGAGGAAATTATTTCAACTTTGAAGTTCCTCCCTCTTGCCTATAAGAAATGTGTTGTAAGATATTAATAGTAGTAGGAATGGCAACAAGGCACGTTTGGGGTGGGGCACCCCCTCCCTATCCCTGCCCTGTAGTTAAGATACTTTGCCCCATCTCCGGTGGTGGGGCAGGTTCGGGGCGGGGCATCCACTCCCTGTCGAGGACGGGAAATCCCCAAATTTTTCCCTTTTCAAGACAATTACTTAAAAATGATCTATTTTATGGACAATTTACACATAGAATATAGGAATTTGTGGTATCTTACGAATTGAATTATAATACTTTAGGGGTAATTCAAAAATAGAATTACAAGATCCTAGGATCTTAAGAATTTAAGGAAAAACTTATAGATATTTTAAATATCAATATTAAACCTAGAGATATTTTACTAATTTACCTTCAAGTTCAGGGCAGATTCAGGGAATTACATACAAAACCCATCCCCRATTCGAGAAAAAAATATTTCCCCGTCCCCGCCCCGATCGAGGCAGGAGGGGGCCCCGCTTTTACGGAAGAAATTGCCATCCCTAAATAGTAACATGTTTCTTCTCTCTCTATCTCATGCAAGGTGGAGTTAGAGATACAATGGAGTTATAGGTAAAAATGAATGAACGAAATTCCAGTGGGTACTATCATGTTTTTTACTAGCCCATGTCTCACATGTATTTGAAAAATTCAAGATATATTTTGAAAATTTGAAAGAAAACAAAAGATGTTTGAAACAAATATTTTGAAAATTTTAAATCTTTTTGAAAACTCAAGATACCTTTAAAATAATTTATGAAAATTTAGGATATGTTTCGAGTCTTTTACTCAAATAGTTAAAATTATCATTTGATAGGGACCATGCAAGATATTTTACAAATAGTATAAAGGAGAATACTATGCAAATGCCAAATACAAGGTTTGGTTATGTCATGGTAGACCCATTTATCCGTCTTTTTCCGTTAAAATATTTCCAATTTTGAAAGGTACCAATCTGACCGCCTTAATAAAAGCTGGACCCACAAACGAGGGTCCCACCCAAATCAAACGAAAATCAAAATCAACATGGGCCCTACTTAAAAATATTTCCAATTTTCAAAGCTACCAATCAGACCGCCTTAAAAAAAAACTGGACCCAAAAGCGAAGGGTCCCACCCAAATTAATATCAACGTCTTAACCAAAAAAAAACCAAAATCATACTTTAAAAATATTTACAATTGTCAACCTAACCTTTTGGACGTACTTCCAACCAACAACCATATTGGAAGTATATGGCATGGGAAGATAAATATGTCTGTATGTATGTCCATGTGACAAATGAATTATGAAGAAGAAGATGTCTCCTACTGGTTTGGGGGGTCCCACCTTTCAAACTTGTCAGGTCCTACTCTTTCTGTGCGACTGTCACGTGTACGGTTCTGCCTTTGCTACCTTCCCTCTCACTTGCGACAAAAGCTCAACTGGAACCGGATGCTATTTCAAGCTTGACAGATGAGATCCCACTCTTCCTCTAGCCTACGCTCTTTCTAGTCTTCTAGATCTTTCTCTCCTGCTCCCTCCCTTTCATTCCTTCTCTCCGAATAACCTCATGACACGACGAATTAAAGATTTTAAGGAAACCAAGATTCTTTCTTGTTCTAAGTCGTGCTCTCTGCTTTCTCCATTCCTTTCTTTACTTGGTCAGCCTGCTAAATTCTTCATTTACTTCCTAATCAAATCCTTTAATCTTTATTCACAAGTGAAACCATGATTTCCTATGCAAAACCCAGCGGAAACCCAGTATTGTCGACGATCCAAGCAATCCAGAGGCCACCATCGAAGCCACCACTTCTTCGCTCAAATTCCATTAACAACATTCACCACCAGAACCCAAGAATCAATTCGTCCCCAATCAACACCAATAATAAATCCATAAAACCGCAAACCCATCTCCTTAAACCCATCATTATAACTCCAAACCAAATCCCTCTCGGAAAAAGTGGGACAAATGACAGGAGCACAAAGTCTCCTCAAGTGGGTAGGCAACAGGTGTTGGGCTTGTGTGGATTTGGGTATTGGGTTCAAGGGTTCAGGTGTTTTCCATGGTTGGCGATGAATTTCCACATGGCTCACACTCTTAAGCTGCATCCTTCAACGTTGCAGCTTGTGCAGAATTCTGCTAACCTACCCATGGTGGCCAAGCCTCTTTATGGAGTCCTTTCTGATGCTCTCTACATTGGCGGCGCTCACAGAATACCTTACGTATCCATTGGAGGTTTACTATCTTCTCCTTTGTACACTACTTGAATTCTTTTCCTATTTTTTTTCTTAGTCACCTTATCTGTGTTGCTTCATTGGAGGTTTACCAATTTGTCGAGTCCTTGTTAAGGTGTACCAGGGCATATCCGGAGAGTCCCCAGTTTGACGAGCGATCTGGATAAACCTTGTTAATGTTCATAGACCCCCCGTAAAATTGCTGCGGAATTTGTTTGTTCTGTTATGAACATGGTTTGCAATTTCAATATAGATAGAGATTTGAACATGTAGAGATGGAAAAAGATTCGGGGATATGTAGCTAATTTCATTAAGATATTTGAAAAATCTAAAGAAATCGAGGGAAATTTATAAATACATGGAATTTGTTAAAACTTCACGGAATTGTCAGGAAAAGTATAATTGCCCGTTTAAGGCTCAAACCATATCAAACAAAAGAAGATCAAGACGCTTAAATGGTATCTCTGTCTCTTTTACTCATTTAGCCATCTTCTCTTCTTTACATGTCATTTACTTGTGATCTTGACTTTTGTCTCATTTTGCTACTATATGTTTTCATTAAATTGCAAATACTCTTTTGTAATTGTATGTATTTCATTTTCATTTGTATTGTAGTTATTTAGTAAGTGAATCATATCATTATAATAAGCCACTCATCCGATCACCAAGTTCCCATTTGTTCTTTTAGGATAATATTTTTCACAAAAATTCAATGATTTTAATGAAATTCAGAAAGTTTAAGCGATTTTCTAGAAGTTTAAATCTTAAATGTTTACTTTACCAATGAAATTTGAAATGTCGCTGATACATCAGCCATGTATTGAAGATATTAGGGAAAGAAGATTGTCAGAATAGTTTGTATCCCCCTAGAAAAATAGGTACAGTCCGGGGATATTTAACCAAGCTGATATTGCAAACCATGGTTATGAACTTTCATGTTCCACAAGTTTCTTCATTTTAGTAGCTTTATGTTATTGATATCAAATGTCTTTAAATAGTTATGTTGGAATCTGATGGTAGTTTGTGTGTGCAAATTTTGGATTTCCAAAGTTTGCTGAATTTGGTTTACTTGATGATACTAAATCCTTTTGATCTTTCCAACCATGTTTCTTCCATAAAATTGATTCACCCTTTTCTCCTTTTATTTCAATTTCTTCAACTTGAAGTCCAATAAACTATCTTCTCTTTTTGTATACTTTTTAGTTTAATCAAAATTAATGGGTTTTTTTATGCTTTTCTCCTTAAGACAGAGAAACAAAATTCATCGCAACAATTTTAAGTTTTAGCTTTGATTGTAGAAGCAGGAAGTCTTTTCACATCTAAAAGCTAAATTTAATCTTGTGATAGTTGTATCAAGGTTTTATCTTCACAATTTTGACAATGGCAATATGGAATTCAGCAATGCAAATATAGAATTCAGTAGTTTTTTATTCGTTTGAATACATACTCATTCATACTTTTGGCACTAAATTGGAACTTGAGTAGCTGCAAACAATCATGAATCATTGAAGATGCATTGTATCAGCATGTATTCTATTACTGCTTACTAAACCTCCTTTAGTAGACAAATTATTTAAATTCAGTATGTTGTGGCTTAAGTTACTGATATGGATCAAAATTTGCAGTGTTTTTGCAGATTCTGTCTTGGGGGGCTCTGGCATTAATCCCACTTGCAGGTGAAGCCCTTCCTACACTAATGGTGTGCATTCTGCTTAGTAACCTTGGAGCATCGGTCACAGAAGTTGCAAAAGATGCTCTCGTTGCTGAATACAGCCAAAAACATGGAGTAAGTGGCCTACAATCTTATGCATTTAAGGCTCTGGCTGCAGGGGGAATCTTAGGCAACTTGATTGGAGGTTTTTTCTTATTGAAAACACAACAAACCAAAACAATGTTTCTCTTGTTTGCTGCACTACTTTCACTTCAACTTGCAATTTCTCTAACAACAAGGGAAGGTTCTCTTAACTTGCCACAACCATCAGATCATCATTTCATAAGAAATACTCTCTCAGAAAACTTACGCAAACAGTTGTCCAGTCTGGTCACTGCAATAAGTGAAGAGTGCATATCTGGTCCCCTTACCTGGACTGTGGCCTCTATTGCTGCTGTCCCAATTCTGTCAGGATCCATCTTCTGCTATCAGACACAATTCTTAAGGCTTGACCCATCAATCATTGGGATGTCTAAAGTGATTGGCCAATTGATGCTACTATTTGCAACCTTATTCTATGACAGATACTGGAAAAGAATTCCCATGAGGAAATTGATTGGCATGGTGCAGCTCATATATGCGAGCTCCCTGCTTCTGGACCTTGTCCTAATAAAGCAAATCAATCTCAGATTGGGAATTCCAAACGAGGCCTATRTATTATGCTTTTCCGGCTTGGCAGAAATGGTAGCTCAGTTTAAGCTCCTCCCATTCTCAATTCTCTTTGCAAATTTATGCCCACCTGGCTGTGAAGGAGCACTTACTTCTTTCTTAGCTTCTGCTCTTTGTCTATCATCCATTATCAGTGGCTTTCTTGGAGTTGGGTTGGCTTCTCTTATTGGAGTAACATCTGGTGATTACTCAAGGCTTCCCTTGGGGATCTCACTACAGTTCCTTGCAGCTTTGGTTCCCTTGGGATGGCTATCACGTCTGCCTATGTCACAGCCAATATCAAAGGAAAGGAAGAGGAGTGTAAGTAAAAAAGGTAGAAAAGGTAGGAGGGTGGGAAGAATGGCATTTGGTTATGTTTATGCCTACCGGCGACAAAGAGAATCTGAAGCAGACAGGTAAAGTATGCTGAGTGAGGTCTTACAATTTTATTCAAGGCTGGAACATCCATACTCTTTGATTGCAGTTATATGTTTTGATTGCACAAGCCATAAGTACGATGGGACTGCAAACCAGAACAGTGCAATTTTGTCTTTTACTTTTATCTGAGGGAGTAGTTTTCGCATCATCAACACCATCTGGGAGAGATTCTCGCCTACCTCTTCATCAAGATACTTGAAAGAAAAGCAGTTGCAAGTCATTCCTACTTTAAGATCGCAGGGTGTGAATGTGATCATCTTTGTGATGAGGCTGCTTGTGGTAATTTTGATTGTTTTAAGAGGATGTCCCGGTGATTTCATCATAGCAATGCTTCATCAGCTTTTTCACAGTCGAATGGGTGGATACATAACCACTTGCTCTTCGATCAGTGCCTATTATGTATGCAAATGCAAGACAAGTGGTGCTGAACTGCTAATAACCTGCCAAAATAGACCAGAAAGATGAGATAAAGTTTTCAGCTGGATAAAACCAGGTTTGTAAGCCGACTGATTCTGGTAAGGCGGTCAGTAAGCCTCTGAAGATCAGAGGCAATGGCAGTTGCAGAGAAATGGAGAGAGAGAGAGAGAGAGAGATTCTATTGGGGTAATCGGGTCTGGGGGCATTTTGGGTCTTAGGTCCCATATGGCCAAAGGGCTCCTATTTTTAATATTTCCTGTTATTGGTTCTTAGTGAACCTTTTAGAATAAGTCCAAGAACTGGTTCTGATTCTTGGATTGGGTGAGGCCAGTTTGATTGAGGCTTGAGTTGGATTGAACTGGCTTTATAGCCTTTTTGTAACCCAACCCTCTTTAAGGTTATAGATGAAAAGCTGAAAAAAAATTCTGCAATACATCTCAAGGAAACGATAAAAACAAAAAAAAAAAAATATTTTTAAATCAATCAAGAACCCATCAGCATCCCCCTCCCCCCCAACAACCCCTTTCTCCCCACAAGATGGTACTGAATGGTGCTGAATTTATTTCCAGTTCTCACCATCAAGGATATTATGCCACCCTTGCTTTCCTTTGCTTGGCGCTTTCTTGCCTAATTTCTTCGTTCGCACATCAACCTCGTCTCCGATACAAGATTAATACTAATGGCCATCATTGTGCATTCAAGTGCAGACAAGATATTATTTTGGAAAATAATACATGACAGTGCATCACTTTTGGAAGAGAAAGTATTATTCTACCTGCACTAGCGGTTTAACTGAACCGTGGGCTTTTTTTTTTTTCATCAAATTGGTACTATCGGTTTTTGGAAAACCGGTAACCGAAGTCAATCGGTTTGGTTAATTATCAGTTCGATTTGTTAGTTTTTCGGTTTTTTAATTTTTACAATATATATTATAAAAATATATATAAGTATATAATAAAAATTTATAATATATAAATTATATATAATATATATAAATATATATAAAATATATAGAAATATATGTATATTGGTCGGTTTGATTAATTGCTGGTTTTCTATATTGGTTAACCAAAACCAAACCGATCGGTTTGGTTAATAGATTTCTTGGTTTGGTTTCAATCCGTTCAATTTTTTGATTTTTTTGTTCACCCCTAACCTGCACTATTGATCAAGAGATCTACAAAAAGCCTAAATATTGAAGTTTTATTTGTAAATTTGTAGTGCTTGAGAGCATAATAAAACCTGGAACTCTATACAGTTTGTCCTTGTATGGAAGTAACGAACCTTCCTCCCTTGTATGAAGACGAGTAAAATTCTTCATGTTTAATCGAGTATCAAAATATCGGTGGTCATGGAGACACATGGATACACAGGGTTGGGAGATTTTGAAAGTTTCGGATGATTAGATGGAAGGCATTCCTTAAATGCTGATAAGGTGTCACCGGCGCCAGAGGTAGAGGAGTCAGTGAACGCTGCCTCGGCAATCGAAGAGGTTGTAGAGGTGGAGAAAGCGAAGCCCGCAGAGGAGGGAACGCTTGCTAAGTCTGTTTTGTTCAAAGAGAAGACAAACGTGGTTGCTGAAGAAAGCTCTTGAGGAGTTCAAAGTTCAAACAATTTATCCAGCAAGCCCTTCAGAAGCACGACTTCACTTCACTACCACCGGCACCGATGAAGAGGAAAAGAAGGAAGAAGGAGCAAGAGAAACCGGAGAAGGCCACTTCTGCTAAGGATGTGGCTCCGACAGCACCGGTGGAGAAGCAGATGAATTTTGACCAATCAGACCTTCCCTGGAAGAATTTTGATAAATACCAACGCGGATGGGTGATCAGTCTGCGAGTTTTGGGTTGTACTTGACATTTCTTGAAATTTCGATCATTCATATCGTAAATTTATTGTCAAAATCGTTACTAATTTGCATCTAAAATTATCAATTATATGTTAAAGCATTATATTTAAATAGGTAGAAAGATAAGGATGTATAGCACGGAGAGGAGAAAATGCCTGGATTCCCGTCAACACCTTCATTTGGACATGATTCAAATCCACCATCGGCAATGCCTAGTACAATCTAAGCCTTCTCATCCCAACACTCTCAGCCACCACAGCATAGACAATTATAACATTTCCAAACCGTAGAACTCGTTAGATTGGTATAACATTTCTGTCTTCAGTCTCAAGTAGAACTGATATTTCCAAAATTAAATGAAAGACCGTTAACGGCAGAGACCCATTAGACAGTTTTTGGAAGTTTCAAGTACTGTAGACATGTTTTGAAGCTTGGTGACTGACTTGAGAGTTGAGACAACCCCTAAAGTACAGGGTGCTGATGGAAAATTTTCCCTAAAATTAAAAAGAAAAAAAGAATATCGCTATGCGGACACCCACCCAATTGTCAAAACAAAATGCAGCAATTAGTTGATCACAATTCCAGAAGCCAATTTTCTTTTACCACCCATTCTTAACATCAAACCCCATATTTATCGTACAGGTCAGGGAAGCCTCTACTAGTACTCTCTTTGGCAGTTGGAATGTAGAGCCAAGCAGTTCCGAGCTTTTAAGCATCGAGTCAGTGTCCATTGATATTTGATTGACGCTCATCTTCCAGTGGGACTAGTCGAGATGTTCTATTGTTTTGATGTAAATGACAGAAAAGATAACTTTTCAGTAAGCGGGGCAAAAATATTTAAGCCTACATATTTGTTTCAACTTAAAGATGGAGGAAGCCATAAAATTTTCAAAGGAAGCTCCAGTCATCCTGATTCCTGAATCCTGAAACAAAGAGCCGAGCTTTCAAGCATGAACCACAGTGCCCATAACCATAAGACGGTTTCGGCGTTTGACTTTAGTCTCGCAGGGCAGAATGCGCCGATCTCTAGTAATGTTCGAACCATCGTGAGAGATTGACAAAAATGCACATGTGAATGTGATGCACCTAGATATCAGTAGGCTGTCAAGTGTCAACCACTAGAATTTCTTTTCGTCCTTGGAAGTCAGAACCATCGACATGACATCGAGCAGCAGTTTCTCTCACAGCATGCATGATCCTGAAAGGCTGAAACTATGCACGATCACACACAAATAAATAGGTAAAAGAAAATGTAAATTATACAATATACAGGGCTGATTTAGTTTACAAGATCTGCTCTATTTATAACGTTGTTGTATTGTTAAATTAATATGACAAAAACACAACGTGCATGGCTTGCACAGGTTGAGGCTGAAGCTGGTGCCAATTGGATGAACCCATCATTTCTTTTCTCATCCTTGGAATCCAGTCACCTCACGCCACTTGTTTAGGTCAGACCTGATAATCACTTGGACTGATCTATGACTTTTCTTCATCCTCAGCATCTGACTCTGCAAAAACTGGCTCAGGTTGGGTTGCTGCATATGCTGGTGCGATGTACTTTGGGTCCTTTGCTGCAATATCAGCATATTTCAATATAGCTTCTCTAGGATCTTCCTCCATCCATGTCTCCTTGATCATACCACCTTGCTGCAATGTAGTATAGCCAGTAAGCGCAGTCCAATTGATCAATGTCCACGATTTACAGGAAAATAAAGAAAAAAATGATAAATTACCTTGAGCAGATACTGGGTCAACAAGCTTCCTTTAGTAGAACCAACCCTTCCACCAAAGCCCGGTCCTGTTACTGGAAGTTCAGGTCTATGGGACTTAATGGGGTCCTTCAGTGCTTTCTCTCGTTGACGTTTGCGGCTAGGCTGATCTCTAAATAAAGGCAATGCATGAGGGTTGTGAATAACAGGGTCTGCATGAAAATCATCGACAGACTTCTTCCTTGGTGCACGTGCAACACACACAAGAGCTCCCCTCTCACTCAGAGATGGATCATATAGTATGTGTGTTCCTCCTTGGCTTTTGTCCCCAGCCGTAGCAAAGACCTTCAAGAATTATGAGAAGTACCACAATTTAAAAGATGATAAAAGAAGCATACAATGAGCAGTTCTGCAAGAACGGTATTTTAGCAAGCTTCTCTACATAACCCAGGAATCTTTCATGTGGTTCTCTAGTTAGAAGCCCAAAAGGGCTCCACATTTGCCTTGCTGTTATTTGCCATGTAGCAACAGTAAGCCTTTTTTCAGGAAAGTTTATATTAAAAACAATAACTTTGCATGTACGTGACCAGATTACAAAACCTTCTTTACATATAGGAAAGTCCTTTCCCATAGAGAGGGTGAAAGTGGCATTCTCTAACAAAATAATCTATGAAATAGAAAAACCATACAGAACAAAATTATTGATTTGATACTAGTATAAATGTATAATACATGATACAAGGTGCATTTTTCAGTAGAGACCAAGACAAAAGGTCAAAGAAAAAGAAACAATATTGAGCAAGGCCTACAAACAGATAATATAGTTCAAGGCTAACCTGATTTAACTTTGGATGCCAGGCACACTGCACAACACTGAAAGTTGGAGATATACCCACTTTGGACACAAGTTCAAGTCTTGCTCGGTCAAAGAAGCAAAGCAAGCCTCCAGTTGTTTGTTCTCTCTCAACTGAGGTTCCAGTAAAAATGAGCTGCTCATCAGGACTAAATGCAACATTTGTTTGGGCATAATGACTAGGGAGATCCCCAAAGACTTGAACAGGTTTTTTCATTTGCCGTAAATCCCATACCTAACCATGAATTTAACAAATAAAACTAGTAAACCAGTGTTGAAATTATAACAAAATCAAATCATAAACAATTTTTAATAWGGAATTAATGAGGTCCCATAAACTAAAAATATATATTTTACCTTCAGTGAACTATCCATGCTTCTTGACAGCAGAATCCGCCCATCACTCGAGAACTTAAGTGCAGTAATATCATCTTCATGTCCTTTTTCAACATGGATATCTGGTCTGCTTCCCCATCCAGGCTTAAGGTTCCATATCTGAGAAGTAAAATTAAGAGCAATGCAAGATAAGAGCAAGAAACATGGATCAATAATTTGCACATGCAAGTATTAACAGATCTTAAAACTACTTTATAATAAAACAGTGAAGGTTGAAATTTTAAAATGTCAAGAATAAATACCTGAATGGAGCCATCACCTATACCACCAGCAATGCATTTTCCCTCACGATCCCAAGCACATGTTGTAACTGGGACTCTTCCAGGCCTTGCAAGTTTGGGTTTGATAACCTATTTGTGGAAACATTACTGCATTTAGACTGAGATTACTCATTCAATTGCGGAAAAAAAATAAAAAAAGCCACACTTCAGGATACTACAGATGATTGCAACTCTCTCTCTCTCTCTCTCTCTCTCTCTCTCTCTCTCTCTCTCTTATTCTCTATCAAACCAAACACAGCATAAGAGTCCTTTGTTATGGACCACCACGAGGGTAGCAGTGATGTGGATGATATGGGAAGAGAAGAAAGATAGAATTATCAATGTTTCCACCCCCTCCACCTGGAGTAAAGTTTGGTGCTTAAAAGAAAAGAAAAAAAAAGGAGCACAATAATTGGGAGTGTCATGGTGAGGGTGGCCCATTGGGTTAAGAAAACGAATCTCTTTGAATCACTGAGAAAATTACTAGAGGGTGGTATTGGACAGCTAGCTCATCTTCAGCCAAACGTCAAGTCAAGTCTCAATGGAAACCTCCACAAGGGGACATAATAAAGTTCAACTTTGATGGATGTAGTAGGGGGAATCCAGACTGATGGGGTATAGGAGGAACATTTAGAAATGATAAAGGTGACATCTTTGCATTATTCTCAGGACCAGTGGGGCAAGGAAATTCAACAAGGGTAGAGTTACTGGCAGTGCTAACAAGGTTTGAAGCTTGCAAAGCATCTCAACATTTCTAAACTCATAGTAGAAGGGGATTCAAAAGTAGCAGTTGGGTAGTTAAGAAAGGATGGATTGTTTCCATGGCAATATAGAAACAGTTGGAGGGAACTAAAGCAGATAATGAGGGATATGGAGATTCAACTTAGCTGGACACACAGATCAACCAATGGGTTATGAGATTCTATGGCTAAAGAGAGGAGTCCAAAGATAGCAGCTCTTTTGGGGCACTACGGGTAATGCATAATGGGCAAAAAATTGTAAAATAAGAAAGAAAAGAAAAAGAAATTAAGGGTATAAGAATCACTAGAGGTGCTTGGCACTCTTGTCCCTGCAAAGAGAATTCTTTTTCTTATTTTGATAAAAGTTGACAGTTACACTTTTCTCCAAAAAAAAGAAAAAAAAAACTGCAAAAACTTCAATTCACATACAACAGATAAAAGTAAAAAATGAACAAGAGCATTGCATATTGCAGCTTCCTTTTTTTTTAAATAAGTTAACTTTATTCAATAAAGGAAAGGTACAAGAGATGTACACAGAGATCAAACATTCAAGAGTTATACAGGCAGAAAACTATCACTAAATAAGTAATCCCTGTGAGGACCAGATTTAAGTAGACTGTCGACTACAGAGTTTAGCTCCCTCGAAACCCAGCCCAAGTGTGCATTCAAAGAGGAGAGGATGTCTCTCACTTCAGCCAAGTAGTGGGCTAAGGCCCAAGGCCCACCATCAGGATTAGTTCAACAGAGAAATTGACCCCACATGAAAATATTGCTGCTTCTTGCAAGAAATTTCAACCATGGAAATGTTCAACAGGGAAACCGACCTCACATGTAGCACCTTCAAAAAAGGTACCTAATGGGTAAAGTTGAAAGAAAAGAACATGCAAGAAACATAATATCATGGAGTTTTGAAAAGAAAACATGCAAACCTGTTTTTGACTTTTGAAATCATTAACATCCCAAATACGCAGTGATCCATCATCTGATGATGTTAAAATGGTCTCTTTCATTCTAGGATGCCACTCTCCACAAGTCAATCCAGATATATGCCCCTTAGTGTTCTTTAAATCACGAATATACATATCTCCCTTTACAAACTCACCCAAAGTAAGTCCATCACGGTCATAAATCTGAAACAAAGAGGAAGAAAACCATGAGTGATACTTACGCAAACTATATGCTAAGAAATTTGAATACATAAAACACAATACTTGGGTAGCACCTTAGCCTGAGCTGAGCCAGTCACACATAAAAATTTGTCTGCGGTTGGACTCCAACTTAAACTACGGACTTGGTGTCCTTCAAATGGTTCCAGCTGTCTAAATGATGCTAACCGAGAATTCATTCCTTGAAAGTCATACATACGGACTGTATAGTCATAGCTACCAGAAATAACCCTCGATCCTGAATGATCAATAGCAAGGGCTGAAACAACCTGTCGAAGGCTTCACCATCAAAATCAATGTTGGGGAAAGAAAATGATTCAGAAAATAGCCTAAGCTAGTTTAAATCTGAACTACACATGTTAAGACATGCCATAAATAATTCTTCTGTTTCAGAAGGAATCATTTTTATGTTTTTAGAACAAAAGGATATTCTCATGAGACTTCAAATCCTTTGATTCTACTTAGGATCTATGGGGAGACATCAGAAAGAACAAAAAGAAAACCATAAATGAAAGAAGCAACACAAGTTTTTTTGTTAAATACTTCCAAAGAATGGTTATAGAAATTTTCAATAATTAAAGGGAATTAAAATCTTCAGTTAATTTCTTTTCATATATCCTGATTTTCAAAATGTGTTTTCAGCTATAACTCTTCAACGAGGTAACCTTCCATTCTTCTATTCTTGTCAAAAAAAGAGAAACTTAGCTGCAATAGCAGCAATCCCACAAATCACAAGAGGACAAACTAACACCCCATGAACTCCATGTATTACACTCTCATGCAAGTACCCTTGAGGACAAGAAAATCAGATACACTGAGAATAACAAGATGAGAAAGGAGGAATATGGTGGTGGAGTTTGGAGAGTTGGGGGAACCAAGCTCTTTTCAATAAATTTAAGGTAGCATAAGGAGAAGGAATTGGATAAGGACATAAGGTGAAGCAGAGTGGAGGAAAAGGAGGTGGATAGTGAATGAATGGTTACTAATTAAGAAGTTAAATAGGTAAAGAGATGGGTTTCTTTCACATGGGTGGGATAACCAAGAATACAATTTATTTTTCAAAAGATTAAACAGACAGGTCTAGCAAGAATGGAGAGAGTAGAAGGTTTCTGTGAGAAGTAAAAAAATGAGGCAAATGAAGGGTTACAAATAACATTGATTAGGAAGATTGACTATCTAAGTCAGCAAAGAGAGGTGGTTAAAGGGAGGGGTAGAAGCTAACCAGAGGAAGAGACCAAGGACGCAATCACTCAAGATACTATAGTTGATGGTAGCCAGTTGCCAGGATGAAAGTTCAAGGTATGGAGAGTTGGATTAAGGGTTAGTTGTTATCTTTCTTTAGTGCTTTGGTGGGAGCAATAGATTATGTGTTTTCTTCTTGCATTTGGAAGTGGTGGAAACCTTTTGAGTCTTTGAAAATTTATGCCTTTAAGCATTTGGGTGTTGTTCAGAACTAAGGATATTTTCTCTTTCCTGCATAGTTAAGAACAAGGAATTTTCCGGGTATGTGGTTTCATGCCCACCCCTCCTTTTTCTTTGTGCCCCTTGGTAAAATTGTATACATCCAATATAACTTTCTTAAATACAATAAGCATCACCACTAAAGTTCACAATAAGTCTCATTATCCAATTATATTGTCTTTTCTCAACAGATGTAGGGTAAGCTTCATTCCACTCACTACAACCTCTTTGAAAATTTATACCTTGGTTCTTTTTGTTACTTGATTTGCAAATTTATACCCTGGCTCTTTGAAAATTTAAGGATAGCAGAAGCAATTTTCACATCCATATTCCAATGGTTTCTGAACTAGTAATACATTGCACTTGCACTATGCAGTTACACATTACAACAATGACCACATAGGAACCCCCATCTACCTTTTTATCATATTGTCTCCCAACCTTAACTAAGAATATATTTATTTCTACTTCTAATAGCTCATTAATGTTTAAAATGGACTTGCACTTAAAACAATTCCTTTTGTGTTTTCACCCACAAGTCCACCCATCAGTCGAAACAATAAAAACAATAATCACGTCTACAGAACCCTAAAGTCATGAATTGAAGCTGCGGATGCAACTGGGAAACCATATAATCTGATTATTACAAATGGAGAGAGAGAGAGAGAGAAAGAATAGATAATATTGAGGTTATCAGTGTACCTTAGTGTGCCCCTTCAAGACAATCTCATTACTGAGTGGAATCTTATATCGATCCTCTTCTGCTTCTTCATCCGAATCATCATCTGAATCCGACTTAGCCAAATCCGAAGATAGCGGTGGCCGAGGAGGTCCTATCATCACTGTATCACTCTCCCCGTCTTCATCTGCAGAATTCGAACCCGGCGGCGGCCGAGGAGGCCCAATCATCATCGCATCATCCTCCCCATCTTCATCTGCAAAATTCGAACTCGGTGGCGGCCGAGGAGGTCCAATCATCACCCCATCTTCATCAGCTAAATTCGAAGTCGGCTGAGGAGGACCAACCATCACCTCATCATCCTTCAAATCCTCACCGTCGACACGACCTTTCGACCCATTATCAGCGGTCGAACTGGGTTTCCCGAACGCCGAATTTCGATCCTCAGAGCGCTGGTTTTCATGGGCGGAAGAACTGGGCTTAGCATCTCCGTGGTGGCGGGAACTAGGGTTAGGGTTTCTGAGGTCCTTCAACCAGGCCTTGGAAGGGGAAGAGAGAGAAGGGAGGCCCTTGTTAGCAGGGGAGTGGGATGAGGAATCTACAGTGCGCCGGGTGGCGCTGTGTATGGCCTCGAGAGAGGTGTGCTGGTTTGTTTGCTTGCCGAAGGAGAGAGGGAACTGTGCTCTGATTCCGTCGTAGATCTCTGCTTCTTCATCCTCCATTTCTGCGAACACTCCACCACTTCCTCGTGCCGGTTGAATATCTCTTTTTATTCAAGTTGTTACTAACAATCTAACATGCGCCCGTGCCGCCTTAACTGATAACTCTGAGGCCCCAATTTGGCCGGTGAGATGCGAACCAGTTAGCAGTGGATCGACCACTCGACCGTACTCCTGCGTCTAAATATTCGAATTCAAATTCGATTAGAAAATTTGATATCTGATATGGATATTGAAAATTAATATTCGAATTTAGTTAATTAATTATTTTAAATAATTAATAAATATATAAAATAAATATTTTATTTATATAAAGTATATAAATATATAATTTAATTATTATATATAAATTATATAAAACATTTAAAAATTTTATATATTATATATAAGAATTAAATAATCGGTCGAATTTAAATATTTATCGAATCGAATTAAGTCATATTCGAATTCAAATCTGATTAGGTATTCGATATGAATAGGACATCTGAATTCGACCGATTAGATATTCGAACTACCCGAATTAGATTCAATTATACCAAATCTCGAATTCAAAATCAAATTTTTGAATACCGTTTACACCCCTACTTAAAAAGAGAGACCTTGAGCCTGACCAACCCAAAGTTAGGCCCAACTTTATCAACCTAGCCCTACCCCAAGCTTCATCTAACACAATTTGATCTGTGTTTGGGATAGAGTTGGATCGGACTGGGCTTACTTAAGACTTGAGCAAGTTGATTGAGTTTGAAATAATCTATAAATATATCCTTTTGTATATTAGTTTTTTTTTTTCTTTTTGATAAGATCAGAAGGGCTACACAAGATGGAGGTGCCAAGGAAGGTTACCAAGCCACTTAGAGAAACAAAACCATGGACATTTGAAAGGGCTTCATGAACCGATCAGTCTACAGCTTGGTTTGCTTTGCAAAAATTGTGCTTGTAGACAACACCTTTGGTGAGAAATTCCCTCAGCTCCAAGTAATGTTGAATGATGTTCCCAAGTCTACATAGAGGATTGAACTTGAGATGAAGGCAGGAGATCACAAGCTTTGAGTCACCATCGATGATGATAGGATGATCTTTGAAATTCAAAGCCAAGTTATGGGCTTCCCATACTGCCCAAGCTTTGACTAGATTGGTTGTTGCAAATCCTGAGTTGTAAGCTTTGAGGTCCACTATTTCTCCTAAATGATTCCTCTTAATACATGCCACTGAGCAAAGGTTTCCATTAATACAAGAAGCATTGAAGTTGATTTTGATAGTTCCATGTTCAGGGGGATGCCACATGATCATCTGCCAAGACTTTGATGATTTTTCTAAACATTGATTATTAAGACAATTGCAATTCTCTTGAAAGGAAAATAAAGCCCTGAAGGGGGGCAGCAATTTTTTTTTTTTTTTTTCTGTTCTTGTTCTTCCATTGGTCCCATAGTATGAAAATGCAATTCTCCTTTTTTTTTTCTTTCCCTATAGTATCATTTTTACACACTTTTCCTCACCACTCTTTCAAGGAACTATCTTGGTCATCCCCACAATACTTGGGCTGACAGTCGACCAAATTTGTTTAGTAACAACTCTTCAAAACATGTTCCAAATCCTCTACCTCCCCACAAATGCTGCACCACCCTATGTCAATATTACATCCTCTCCCTCTAAGAAGGCTTTTGAAAGGGAGTCTATCATTGAGAATGTTGGAATTGCCCTCCTAAGCTGAAGATCTTCTTGTTCCCTCTTTATTGGATCTTGTGTCCATTTGGGAGGGCTTTCACATAGAGGATTCAACGTTACATGAAACAAGAAACCCGAAAAGCCATTAAGCTATAATAGTTGGGTCATGTTTAGGAGTGCTTATGTTAAAAATAAGTGTTTAAAAACAAGTGCTTATTCGAATAAACACTTATTTGCATTTGGCACCTAAGTTTTTCAAGTGCTTATTAAAAAAAAAAACACTTATTTCATATTGGGCGTTTGGTAGTCTTTTTCTCCAATAAGTATTTAAATAAGCATTTGTGACTATTTTATCCTTCATTTTCTTTCAAATTTTATGAAAACACCTTTATACAAGTGCTTTTACAAAAGCACTTTTATGAAAGTATTTTTATAAAACCACTTTCTATGGAAGTACTTTTATAAAATTCAACTAGGGATAGTTTTACAAGTGGTATTTTAAAATTTGACTAGGAATAAATTTGGAATAAAAAAATGAATAAGTGCTTATTGTATAAGCATTAAAAAATCTGGAAATTTGGACTTGAAAAATAAACCCTTATTTTTAAAATAAGCACTTATTTGGGCTTATTTCCCAAACACCAATAAGTGCTTAATGGTTTTGTGGTCCTGGTCCAAATAAGCACTTATTTCGAATGAGCACTTATTTTTAAGTACTTCCAAACATGGCCTTGGTAAAACACCAAAAAGCCCATATAGGTTTACATGAGCCAAAAAAAAAATCAATTTTCTCAACATGAGCCCAAAATAGTTAGCTATTCCAAAGCCACTCAGTGAATGGCTTTGGAACCACACCCCCTCTTTTTGAAAATGAAAACATTGATTTTGAACCATCACAAGCCTTCTACCATGTATGATTGTAATTGTATTATGAATCAAACAAAACCACAATCATTGTTTTGTTGATGGTTCATTTTTTTGGACTCAACACATTGTCAACTCTTCTATGTGACTTAGTAACTTACATGCATATAATCAATTTATTCAACTTTGATTGTATGACTATTTGTTTATCACATTGTATGTTAAAAATATAATATAATATATTAAAATACATATAATATATGAACATGTATAATTATATATTTTAAATGTATATAAAATATTTATATACATTGCATTTTATACAATATAATAATATGACCTCAGATACACAAAACCACTTAGGCACATTAGCCTTCTTTTTGAACCATGTAGTTGTTTTCAAAAAGTTATGTTTCATAGAAGAGGATTTTATTGATTTTGAAACCATAGTTTGCTGGTTCCAGCCAACACAACCACAAAAAGAACATGACATCCGTGTAGCCTTCTAGAATGCTGATTGTATTTGTGAATCAAATGAAACACAAACATAATCATGAAAAAAACACCCACACCTAGGAGTGCCCATGAGTCGGGCTTTTATGAGCTATTCGAGCTTGGCTAGTAAAAAGCTCGATTTGATTCGGTTCGGTTAAGCCAAGTTTCGAGCTAAGCTCAAGCCTAATGTATAGGTTAGTTTGCTAATCGAGTCAAGCTCAAGACCAATAAAGCTTGGCTAGTGAGCCTAATAGAGCTTTTACATATATATATATATGTATGTATGTATGTATGTATTATGTACATACATATATAATAATATACATATATATTATAAAAATAATAAATAAAAATATTATACATAATAAAAACTATTATATATAATATTTTTATTATATATATAATAACTAATTTTTATATGTTAAATAAAAAAAATTATATGTATATTTTTTATTTTTATAGAATGTTTGACTCAATCAAACTCAAACCGAATTGAGCTTGAACTTATGATCTTTTGGCTCGAGCCAAATTCTAGCTCGAGTCAAACTTGAGCTCAAGCCCAAGCCTAATGGTTTATTGGCAAATCAAACTCGAATATCTAGATATTCGGCTTAGATCAGCTCAAATCCACCCCTACYCACACCCCTTAGTTGAGCTTGGATTTCCTCAAAACAAAAATTGTGCACACACTCTAATAACATAACATCCAGATTGTACTTACAATTATGGGGAGATATTCCAGATGTGTTGTTGGATGCCATACTCTCGAGGTGTTTTCACAATTTTTACTTTTAGAAAATCCTCTCTCTAGTTAATTACTAATAAAATCATATATCTATACTAAAATATATATCTTAATTTCTTTTTTAGATGAATAGCATCTATATAATTCTCTCTTAATAATGAGCAAAAAGTGTGAATATACGGGACCCTAGCCTTCCTTTAATTTGTTCTGCTTAATCGTTTTGCAGGTGGGAGAAATGCACGTCCCTTCAAGAATTTCACACTCAACGTTTGAGTGRTTTCCTTGCCCTCTCTCTCTCAAGGCATCCATGAATTCTATTAGTTTTATATATGATTTGAAAARCCATCACTAACGTCGGCCTRAAAAGCCTAACCACCTCTGCCTCTCATGTCATCTCACCCCCCCTCTTTTGTTTAAAAAGACACAAATAAAATTGATACATAGAAGGCCCCCTCGCTAATAATAAACGCTGCCACATAGGTGCCATTTCAAAATTTAGCCTATCATGTTGATCCGTACACATAAAGACTCACAAAAGCTGGCTTTGATTTATGTGAATGCCAAATGTTGGGGGAAGTTTCATTTTAACACTTTCCCCAATGGTTAAACATTTATTCACTGTTATGCTGATGTGGTGCTTAATGGCACCTAGTTGTCAACAAACGATTTCATTATTATTTTTCTTGATTTTACAAACAAATCAAGTATAAACTTTTAGTGAATAAAACGGAAGTTATACCAAACACATACTACATCTATCTATACTATTTATAAAAGTGTAACTAGGTGTAACTTTTTGGAATTTTCATAGACAAAATTTGCCCCTTCAACTTGAGCTATCTAAGGGGTAAATTTGTATTTTTATAAAACTTTAATTAAAATGTCTGAAATTGCAGTAATCGTCATAATAAAAGTCACTTAAACCGTCACTTCATCCTCCCACTAAATTCCATTCAACAAACCAAGAAAAAAAAGTGTCGCTTCACTTCCACATACACCAAAATATAAAAAGAAAATTGCAGTAAGTGTTTTCAATTAAAAGTAGTTCTTGCTAAATACTCAAAATACTTTTTGATTCAATTTTGTATTTACATAGTCCGAATGTTGAAAAAAAAAGCTTATCCATACATAGGCACATTTATTTATTTATGCTTGTGCAATTTATTCTAATTTTGTTTTACATTTTAATTTTTGTATTAAACAAATATCACAACCTCAATGTCCTTGAGTACTTAGCATTTCCTTACTGTTTTATTTAATAAAAAGTTCTTTTGTATGATTTGACTTTTCTGTAATTTGTGTTGAAAGAAAAAAGTTAAATTCGAATAAATTCTTCACGGTTGAAAAGCTCAGTTCAACATGTCCCTTTGTTATAATTTGTGTTAATTGCAGAATCCTATTGCATACATATCTTCCTATGGCTCACTTCAATATGTCCCAAAATCAGGGAACCTTGTTGCACATTCGATTGCTCAATTTGTCGTTGAGGGTCTAGAATTGTTTCTTGGTCATGGTTTCTAGTGTTCCCAAATGATGTAATCCGTAAAGCTATGTATCTTGAACATTCTTAATATATTGAGGTTTCTTCTATATATATATATATAGTTTTCACATGCATAATTACTAGTATTGTTAAAAGGCAAATACATAAATTGGCTACGAAGGAAATAAATTGTATAAAAAAAATACATAGAGAAAATCACGAATAAATTTATTTTGATGTTATATTGTTTGCATAAACTACAATACATATAAACTAAGTAACAGATTATTTTATTTAGATAGAAAAAAGTTAAAAATGTAAAACAGAATACATGATAAAATTTCACCATAACATTCATAATAGATTGTACTCAAAAAAATATATAAAAACCATAGTAAATATATAAAATCCATACATCATCAGCATCACCCAAGCCTTATCCCAACTATATGAAGATAAAATGCATACACACAATTTTTTACCTTTCACAACCTTGATCTCAACAACGTCCCAAAAAAATGCACAGCAAATCCATCAATTGATATGAAGCAACTTATAAATGGTTTCTTAAATTGCACATTCAGACAAGTAGAAAGATTTCACAAAAATTTTGGATATAATTATTTCACTAATTATGATACAATTAATAAAAAAAATCCCCCAACGAACTAACTAACTCTAATATCCATTACTGTTATTGGAGTTTGATCATGTTTGCTAGAGAAATCCATGAATGTATACACCTATGTCAAGTTCTCAAAATCAGGAACATAACCAGCTCCCTTCATTGTTAATACAAGGTCATCCAGCATCCTGTATATCAAGTTTGAACAGGGGTGTGTTTTATCAGCAACATAGAAAGAATGAATCTTGCTATCGATACTAATCCAACTGCAGCCTGGTAACTTTCTTAGCCCTCTTTCCCTCATCCTTGTTCTGATTTCTGCCACACTGTCCCACCTCCCAGAAGAAGCATGTACATTTGACAGGGATACATAGTTCGATGGATTCTCTGGTTCTAACCGAACAAGGGACCTATAAGCCAAATCCCTCATTTCTGAATTCCCATGAAGTGAACTAGCACAGAAAAGAGCTCCCCAAACACTGGGGCCAGGTTTGACAGGCATCGAATTTATATAGTCAAATGCTTGATCAAGCTGCCCTGATCGACCTAACATGTCAACTACACAGGCACAAATTTCCACTGTAGGTGAAACTCCATAATCCATCACTAATGAATTGTAAACATTCAAGCCTTCGGTTACTAATCCTGACCTACTACAAGCTGAAAGAACTCCCACTGATGTAATGTTGTCTGGGGAGAACCCAAGTTGAAGCATCTTATTAAATAGAAAGATGGCTTCATGGCCCTTCCCATGTAGTCCATACCCAGCAATAATCGAGCTCCAGGAGATTGCATCTTTACAACAAGAATCATCATCAAAGACATGCCTTGCCCAATTCAAATTCCCACACTTACAGTACATGTCAATTAGAGCRTTGCTCAGAGAGACTTTCTGGTGCAATACTTTTCTAATGGCAAAACCATGAATTTGTTTTCCTTCCATCAAACCAGCAAGAGAGCTACAGGCAGGGAGGACACTCACAAGCGAAACTCTATTGGGTTCTACCCCGTATCTCATCTGCATTTCTCGAAAAAGTGTCAGAGCTTCTTCTGCCTCTTCATTCTGCACATAACCAGAGATCATTGCAGTCCAAGAAACAATGTTCTTACAACTCATTTGGTCAAATACCCGCCTAGCAATGCTCACCTTTTGGCACCTGGAGTACATATCAATCAAACAAGAACCCACATGAACATCTGACTCCAATATGAGCTCATCTTTTATGATAAAACCATGGATCTCTCTGCCATGATCCGGTTGCCCGTTATTGTTTCCACAAAAAGGTAGAAGACTGGAAAAAGTAAAAGCATCGGGTTTCACCCCTTCCATCTGCATCTGTTTTACAAGTTTCCATACGTCCTCATCGAACATAGAATTCCCTGAAACAGCATTCCCAGAAATTAGAACATTCCAAGAAGCAGAATTTCTGCAAGGCATTTCATCAAACAAGTTCCGAACATCGCCAAGCCTCCCACATCTACCATACATTGACATGAGGGAGTTTGCAGCAACAGTATCTGAAACAAACCCACTTTTTATACTCAGATTATGAATCATTCTTCCAATTTCCGAGTGCCCAAGCTCGCCGGAAATCTTAGAAAGAGTAGCAACAGTGTAGTTGTCAGGCATTTCATCATCCCTACGCATTCGATTAAAAATATGAAAGGCCTCTTCAAATATGCCATTTTTAACGTAGCCACTGATCAACGAATTCCATAGAAATACATTTTTCTCGCGAACCGATTCAAAGACAAGGCGAGAATCTGCCGGAACTCCACACGTCGAATATGAAGATATGAGCTTAGTTGCGACAAAAGCATTTTGATCGAACCCGCGAGAGTAAATCCGACCATGAGTTTGCTGGGTGAGTTTCAGAGAATTATGATCGACAGCTAATTGCAGGAGATGGAGAAGCTGGTGGGACGGGTCCAGTACAGTGACGGACTCACAAAAACGCGAGAATGCCCGAGCATTTTTTATCTTTGCGGAGAAAACGAAGAAGAAGAAGAAGCGGCAGGGAAGAGAAGAAGGATGCATGACAAGACGGTTATTTTCCCGCCGATTCCACGAACGCGTCGAATTTAACATGTTCAGAGAACCGGACCGGGCATTGACCCGGCAAAGGCAGAGGTTCACGGGTCAGAGGTCCGACCGGGGTCTGACCAGAGGTCAAATCATGCTAATGTAATAAATAAATAAATAAAATTTTAAAAAAATACCGAATATGAAGGAAAATTAATCCAAAATAGAAATAAGTCAATAACACTTCAAGCTTTTGAAATTTAAGACAATATATCCCACAACGAAAACAAATAAATTAACAATCCAATAAAACTACCATCACAAAAGCATTTCAAGAATATCAATTCAAAAATTATAATCCATACATGACAAAGTAAAACTGATTTCAATCTTCAGCAATTTTGGTATCACATTATCACTATCATAATTTTGAATTCAATTTCAATTTTCAGCTATTTCATAAGGGCTTAGACAATTAAGTAGGTAAAGCTACGAAGTCACTGAACAACTAGCTGGAACTCCACTTGGTGGATTGAAATGAAAGCCTAAAGGAAAGATCAAATTCTAAGCCTGAAGCAAAAATCAAATTGGAATTTTAATTTGAACAAACCTGTAATCAAAAGTTATAAAACTATGAGTAATTAAAAAAATAAAATTTAAAATTTAAATACAAACCGTAAACTAAACTATAAAGATGCTGATAACTAATGAATAAATGTTACAGAATTGGAAAAAATATTGCAGAAATCAGGTTCAGAGTTTAGAAATTAGTGGGAGAAGAAGAAGAATGAGGAGGAGGAGGAGGAGAGGAACCGGCCAGCGGAGTGGAGGGAGAGGGGTGCGATGAACAGTGTCCATCAGAGGGAACAAGAAGAATAAGAAAAAGGAGGAGGAGAGGAAACTAGCCGATGGATTTAGAGGAGAGGGACGCGCGCGGTGAACAGAGTCCACCGACGAGAAGAAGAAGAAAGAGGAGGAGAGAGAGTCCCTGTTAGCGGTAATGGCATCGACGAAGCTGGAAGCTGGAGGCACTGGTTTTCTACTTTTCTTTGGCTGGGTTGGAAACTTGGGATTGACTTTTTTGTCTTTTTGCACTAAATATGAAAATGGAAAAACACCGGCCGATTATACGAAAAACGGGACCGGTTCTACGGTTTGCCGATTGAACCAGCCGGGTGGCCAGTTATTTGCGATTTTTTTAACATACCATTTTTGGGGTACATCCGGACCCGCCAAGGGGCCGGCCGATCCGGTCCGATTTTCAGAACAATCGTTACAAAAGCGCGGGTGAAAGATTTTGAAATGACATAAATACCCCAAACTATGATAAAATTGAGATCGGCTTCAGTCAGTCAAGGCCCGTTCGAACACTTCAGCCTTGCTCGAGGATTCACGGACGAGTTCGAATCCTCTACAACTACAATCATTTAAACAGATGAGAGAGAGAGAGAGAGAGAGATTGGTGGCTTGGTGCTTTTGTTCCCTCTTCTTCAGCTTCAAAGCCCTAACACTACTTCTGTTCACCATTGACGTGGGAACATGTCTGTCTTTTTATTGTCTAAAATATTTACCTTTTTAGGGTTTGGGGGAAAGGTAGATTTGAAGCCAATAGATGCTGAACAGTTCAGAGAGAATGCTCATAAGATGGTGGCTTTCAGTGCTGATTAGTGATTACCATAGGAACATAGAGAGGTTTCCTGTTCTTAGTCAAGTTGAGGTATACTGATATCTCTCTGTTATATTCCATATTTGCATTTCCTCCCCCTCTCTCCCCTAAAAAATCACTCAATGGCTTATCATGAATGCAAATGAGCACGTGTTAGTGGAAATAGGAAATTTGCATTCATCATTAATGGTTTGTTCCTGCTTATATTTTTTAGTCAATATCAATTATAGTTCTTCCAGCTAGAGGTTATGAAATGGAATTTYTACTGGATATGACCACTAATAGAAAGTTTGTTTCTTAAAAGGCTATCTTCATATCTATCACTAGTTTCTTTTACTACTTTAGTGTTTAAGCATTAAGCATGATTAATTAGTTATTTTTTAAATTCCAACAGTAAACCCATTTCCCCAATGCTTCTCTCCAACAGGATGATTTTATGTTATCTCAAGAATTTCCATGAAACTTCTCATTTTGAATGATTGAAATTCCATCCAAATCCAAAATACCCATGATACCTTGATCTTGTACTGTTTGAAAGCTTATTTGATCCACAAACCCAAGATGACTTAATTTGTAAACAACTTGAGAGTTAATACAAAATATTATTGAACTTCCATATTTGTTTTTTAGAGTCTCTTTAAGCTGTTATTAGTTTTTTTTTTTTTTTTTAATGCACTCAGAAAGAGATTAGTACATTTTAGAGTTGATTTTGAGTGAAAGTTCAGGTACTTAATATTTTTTAGGAAAATTTCTGACCAATAAACCCAGCTTCTCTATTAACAGGGGGTTGCAACTCATGTGGTAGATAGCTCTATTAAATAACTCCATTAAATTGAACAACTCCCTCTCAAGCTTAGGCTATTTCCATGGTGTCACTCCTTACTTAACCTTGATGGTTAGATATAGACTTCATTAGGGTATTAGTTAGACACTTAGACACCAAGTCTTGCTCAAGAACTAAGGAGTGAGTTCTATATTTATCTACTACTAGTTAAGGGGTACTAGGGTCAACGTTTGATAACACATGCACTACCAGAAATGGTTAATGCCATTGATGCATCACCTTGGTTACAAAAAGACGTAAAGCATTACAATATTTACTGTTAGGAAGGTTTTAGTAAGAGTGACATGTGGATTAAGCACATCCATTTGAGTCTCATTTGTTTCTGACAACATCTGTTAAAAGAGTGGGTGGTCAAATTTTATATTTTGTGCCCTATTCTGGAGTTGATAAAAATTGTAAAACTAAAATTCCTACCTTTCTATCTATTGGCTTCCCTTGATATTATTGAACACTGGGAAATGATTTGAAAAGCTCAACTGTAATGAAAGGATTCAGAACACTGGTTCCTTCCTTGCAGGCTAGTGCAGTACAGGCTACTAAGGTGGGGAACTGGTTCAAAATGCTCTACCATTTAGTTGAGCCAAGACCATCAATACCAAAAGTGTACTTGGCAAACAACCCTTGCAAAGTTCTCTCAGATAACATGCTCTTGCAATTAAAACAAAAAACAAAAAAGGAAAGAGATATTTGATCTGTCTGAATTTCTGTCCAACTATTTTTGTTAATAACCTCAATCCTTTTTTTTTTTATTTCTTTCCCCCCTTTTGTATTTTCTTTTCCTAGTTTCCCTTATAAATGGAAGATGGCAACTACAGAAGTACAAGAGGATTTTCTAGCGCATGGCATGAGGATAAAAACTTTTCCCTGGTCCAGCCCAAAAGAATTTAAGAACTAAAATTACATTCTGGCCGGTGCGTAGTTTGGCTGAACTTATTTTCCTCTCAAGGTTAGCCCAGGTACAGGTCACCAGTCTTGTGGGCCTGAAAAAAAATGCCTGGCTCTTTTCCAGATTTTCTATCTAGCACCAATCCATAGCCTGCCCAGAAATCTACAGAGCCATTCCAGTCCATTAGCAACCCTAGATGCAATGGTCCATATTTGTTCCAGGAACCCTCATTGTTCTATTTGCTTTCCCAGACACCAATTATGAACATGTACGGGCATCGATATGAGCTGCCATTCACTATTCACATTCTTTCCACAAGGACTTCACCACCAAAACATCACATATGAATTGAATTTGTGGTAATCTATTTATCAAAGCCTACTTGATTGTTTTGTCTTTTACCTTTTTATTCACATCAGGATTCTTTTAATAAWTTTTTTATGCGTGTCATCTACTTAGGGATGCWAACGGATATTCAAATCCGATCTGATCTCATAAATACTGATTCGAATTTGAATTCGGTCAGGATGTCGGATATCTGAATCTGTTCTGATCTGATTTCATTTAGAAAATAATAAATTATTAAAAGGAAAAGAAATTATATCAGTTTAAATAAAAAACAAAAAATACAAGTTTTTTCAACTATTTTTATCATATACATATTTTTATAAAAAAATTACAAAAATGCAATATAAATAGCATATTTATAAATAAACAAATAACACACACACACACACACACAATTCGATCCAATTTCTAATCGGATCTGATTATCCGATCCGACCTGAAGATCTGAAATAAGGATATCTAAATCCGACAAAAATAGGATCAAACTTTGGATTGAATCAGATCATGATCTGATCCATTTGCACCCCTACATCTACTTTTCTTTTTGTTTTGGCTTCATGGAGCAACACAATGGGTAGGGCTGTAAATGGATCGAATTCGGATAGGGTCCATGATGTAGGACCAGTTCAGTTCTAGTCCTTAGAGAATGTGAATGGTCTTCTTGGATCAGAATTTTATGGCTGTTGATGGCTGTAATGGTTTCTTGAAGGAATAAGAGAAAAATAAGGGAGAGAAAGAAGAGAGAAAATACCTGGAATCACTCACTGGGTGCCTAGAATCACTCTAGGTCATGGGAATCACTCACCATAGCTAACGTAAGCTGAAGAAAACTCAATATAATTCATTGCCTTTGTGTAAAACGTCCATACGTATTTATAGACTCTAAACTCATAATAATACTAGGAGTCAAACTGTTAGACTCATAATAGTCTTAGGAGTCAAACTATTAGACTCAATAATCCTAGTAGGATTCAAACTAAGCTGTCATATCCTATTTCAATTCAAAGAAGACTCAATAAGTCTAAATCCTACTTATGCAATGACTCTAAATTTTTAACATAAACAAACTATAACTAGACCAAATAAACCCTATCATTGGACCCCACAGAAAATTGTAAAATGACAAAAATACCCCTACTGTCCAAAAATACATAAATACATAAAACTTCATAAAATTCCAATTTTGACTCTTCAGCTACTGCATTAGTCCATCTACATCCACATCTGACCCAATTATCAAATAGTTGGATCCAAATCCGATCTGAAATCCAATATGTTGGACTCAGATTGGATTTGTATTTTATCCACATCTATCTTACTGTTTTTAAAATGACAAAAAATAAAAAAAAAGTTTAAAAAACTAATTACTTTTAATTTATACATGTATAAAAACTTATTTAAGAGGCTGCCTAGAGCGACCACAAATTACAGATACAACCAGTTCTGAGATCTAAACAACAGACTCAAATTCTGATTTTTAAACAACTCCGATGCCGACACCCAGGACAGAAGTTTACCCACAGCTATCTGCACCATTTCCTCTGGAGATTTAGCTTTGCCCTGAAAAATTCTGTTATTTCTTTCAATCCAGATAGTCCAAAGCACAGCAGCCGGGATAGTCTTCCAAACCAAGATACCTTTCTTKCTGAGACCCTCAATCTGCCAACACAACAGCAGATCCTTCACAGAAATTGGCATTACCCAGCTGATTTCCAAAGCTTGGAGAAAATGCCTCCAAATATAATTYGAGACTGGGCAATGTAAGGCCAGATGTTCAGTAGTTTCTACTACCCCACCACATAAGCCACATGACATATCCGAAATCTGAATGCCACATTTCACTAGATTAACTTTGAATAGACATTTATTTAAAGCCATTGTCCAGAGCAAAAACTTCACTTTAGAAGGACTGAATGAGCTCCAAATCTGCCTAGCCGGAAAGTTTTCCTGACCTGAACTTATCAACTTACTGAACATAGACTTAACAGTAGTAGTAGTAATAATAATAATAATTTTTTATCAGACTTGGATTTTAATTGGATCAGATGGAGTTAAATCAGCATCCAATTCGATTATTAATCTAATGCAAGTTATGACATCAAAATCCGGGATAATCAGATCCAATATGTTGGACTCAGATTGGATTTGGATTTTATCCACATCTATCTTATTGTTTTTAAAATGATAAAAAATTAAAAAAAGTCAAAAAAGCTAATTACTTTTAATTTATACATGTATAAAAATTTATATAAATATTAAATTTATCAATTATGTCTATATATACATACATAATTATACATAATTAAAAACTACTACCACTACTAATACTACTACCACTACCACCACCACAATAATAATAATTTATCAGACTTGGATTTTAATTGGATCAGATGGGGTTAAATCAGCATCCAATCTGATTATTAATCTAATGCAAGTTATGACATCAAAATCCGGGATAACCAGATCTATAGTCAAATTGGGTATCAGATTTTCACAGTCCATTGATGGCCCTAACAATGGGGGTAGTCCATCCCCATACCCATAACTCCCAACCCTGGTGGCAGCGGGATTTGATCCCAAAGTCTCCGCTACAATCAGGCAACCAGCTGGTTTACCAACTGAGCCACCATCAGTTGGTTATAACTAATCAGGCCTGATTATAACTGTATCTAGTAAGAGACATGTGATATTGTTCTTTGTTAGCAGCTCAAGCAACTTATACTGTGCTCTAACACAATTGAAACGCACTAGAAGTGTATGTTATTATTACTGTTATCAAAGTTAGAAACTCCTTGAATATTTGTTTATAGAACACAGAATGTAACCACCTTCTGCTTATGCCATATTTTAAGAAAACCCAGCTTCCTTTTAGTGTCAATATAATTCTTGAAGCCAAAAACTTCACTTTTCTCATTTAATTAACAGTAGATAAGAAGCAGCTGGTGAGTAATTGGTTACAAATCAATCACATAATTATCAGCATCATGCGCAGCACGATTTGAGTGGTCTTATAATTTATTAATGAAGGAGATGATGTGTAACTGGAATAAATTACAATATTAATTCTCTTAATGGTAGAGGTGGCATAGACATGTTATACTCACATCATTATTAACTTCAAGTGCTTGTATGGATAAGAGACTGGCTATAACTGAAGATTCACTTAATCTAGATTGATCTTAATCCTTGGATTCAGAGCACTTTATTTGGATATTTAACGCTTACAAAAGCTTTTTGGATAGATTTGCCAATATATTATATTTAAGACCCATGAGGTTGAAGGCTATTCAGTTAGAAGGTAAAGGAGTGATCATATTTGGAAGGCAAGCTTTGCTGGTTGCACAGGTACTGTCCAAGTTGGATTGGACGTCGTCCAAGTTCCACAGGCCACCCCATAGGATCTCTTCACTTGAGGAGGCCTCTGGTACAGAGGTATCACTGTTGAACACTGGAGATAGTAAGCATTGCTCCTCAGAGGTGCTAGGATACATGAAGACCATGTCTTCCCTCTCTTGAACTAAGGGTAGTAATCTATGGTCACACTCATCAAGTAGAGACATTATCTTCTTCATGCCAACTTGATTTTGTTGGTTCTTTTTCTGTAGCTGTTGTTGTTGTTGCTGCTGCTGCAGTTGGAATTGCTGCCTTTTTTGCTGCATTTGTTGTCTTAGGAGTCGAGCTTTTGACCTTTCAGAGTGCTCTGGTGATGCTTCACTCTTTTTCTTGAGATGGGTTCTCCAGTAGTTCTTGATCTCATTGTCAGTTCTTCCAGGCAAGCTTCGTGCAATTGTTGACCACCTAAAGATAGAATCAATCTTCAGTGATATAGTTTAACTTGCAAAAAGCAAAATAGCAACCAGACTTCATAAGCTCAGCTGTTAGAAACTTCAAATATAATCCAACTGCCTCACCTGTTTCCCCATCTTGCATGCAGCTCCATAATGATACTTTCCTCATGAGGAGTTATCTGGCCTCTTTTTAGGTCTGGTCTCAAATAATTCACCCATCTCAGCCTACAACTCTTGCCATTTCTCCTCAACCCTGAAAACCAACAATAAAGAAGGGTATACATAAATACAGAAATTAAATAGAAAGGATTGGAACTTTGATACAATTTTAGGAATTATAATCAATAGTCTTGGTCATGACAAAAAGGAAACCTATGCTAAAAGATCACAGAAGGTGGAGGTGGGGGAGGGAATTGGCTTGGGCAAACTGGTGAAGGATTAACTCAACTGAGTTATACCATGACTCTCTTTTTATCTGACTGTTGATTCAGTGGGAAGCTGTGGTATGAGTAGTGCTTACCTGCAAGCCTTGCAACAGAGTTCCATCTTCCTTCCCCATGCAACCTGACATATTCAGTGAGCAATTTATCCTCTTCAGCAGTCCAAGGTCCTTTCCTCCAACCTTCTTCAAGGATTCCCCAACCCAACTTCCCTGCCATTACTTCTCCAAATATAAGTTTGTCTTCCTAATTGTATGACATTAGTTTGTTCTGTTTATACATACTTATATTAACACATAATCCCAACCCAATTCAATCAGTCAATTAACTGTCACTATCAAATAATCCCTATCCACCTTCTAATGTAGTTAATTACCAAAATACCCTTCTCACCCAAGTGAGTTGTGTAAATGGAGCTAACATGTGCCATTGGTGTACCCGCATGAATCTTCATATTATCTCACATTGGTGGGATACAAGCATCAAATTAATCTAGACCAATTGATAAGTAGACCACTTCTTTGAGTAAAATATCAGAACCATCAAATGGCATACAACAGTCTAAATCATGACACATGCTTGGTTATTGTTGTCCATGATTTCAATATATATATATATATATATATATATATATATGATTATTTAGAAAAACCCCAAGATTGAATTTGAATGATAGTACATTGGGTGACATGCCTCAGCAGGGATTAAATCATTTCCACTATTTTATATATTATATATTTGTACTGAGTCTAAATATTACAGAAAAAGCAAAAAGGCAGTTCATAGCCAGAAGCCACGAATGCTTTAGGGCTCATGCCTACAAGCTAATAACTAGTAACCTATTTTGAGGATAAACAGCTGTAAACGTAGGAGAAAAGAAAGCATTTCTTTAAAAGAATAGCATTAGAAAAACCCAAGTGGGTAGTAGACGTTTCCCTTGAAAAGCATTAGAGAACCAATAGGTATCCCCCACCTGCTTGATTTAATTACTATTTTTTGGGAGAAAGCTTAGGAGATTGATATTTGGTAATCTTCATTATTTATTTGTTTATTAAGCATGTACTTGTAGGATGCCATTTTGGGTTATTGGGAGCTTAAAATAATCAAACAATAATTCAATAAGTGTGTGGATGTCACAAGGGAGATGTGGAGTTGTTCTAGAATGGAATTTTCAGATATGCTTTGTTTATTAGACCGTTCTATCTTTGTAGGGATGGTGACTGAAACCCTAGGAAGTAGTATAATCCAAAACATGTATTGTTGCGTTTATGTGAGATAGATTTAGTAGTTTAACTGTTAAAAGAGAGTTTAAAATGCGGTAGGGCTCATTTGATCTCATGGGATTTCTTCAACTGGCCTTTCTATATACAAAGGGATAAGGAAACTTTTAAAACATGGAAATCCTTGACCCGACCCACCAGCCCACCCATTTATCCTTGAACAAGCCAACTCAACTAGAGATGGCAATCTGATTCTGACCCACCCCTGTTGGGGCTCTGATTCACCCCATTCCGACCGGGGCAGGTTTTTTGACTGTTGATCGAGTTCAGAGCAGATTTCAGGGAACCCAATACTTTGGTGACCGGAAACGGGTGGGGTGGTATTTGTTCACCCACCCCAATAAATAATATGTTATAATACATGTATAATATAATGCATTATTTTATATTTTATATATAAATATTATAATATGACACTTTTAATACATATTATATATATAATATTTTATATTATGTAATATATAAATTAGATTTTATACACATTATATAACATATTATAATATATGTATAATATGTTTTTCTCAAAAAACATGTTTTTAGAGTAGGAATGGGCAGGGCACGACAAACTCCAGGATGAGGCTGATTTCTAGCAATTCGGATCTCCTATCCACAGAATCCTACCCACATGACACTACAACTGTACATGGGGAATATCTCCCCAAGAATGGGGACATGCAAATATGGGAGATGTTCTCAATGTATGGCTGTAGTAACGTGTGGGTAGTGTGGATAGGAGATCTGAACACGATTTCTAGGGTATGAGGTGGGGAGGTGTGGTACATCAGTACCCGTCTTTGGGGTTGGGGACGAGACTGGATGTGCTCCTCACACAGGGCGATTCACACGCACATCGTACCATGCATTGGGAACACTTCCCATACTTATAAATTATTATTCATGGGAGATGTTCCCAATGCATGGTGGATGTGCATGTTTGGTGCCCCCGTGTGAGGAGCAGATCCTGTTCCGTTGGGGACAAGGTAGGCAAAAACTGGGCCCCCGCCCTACCCGTTGCCATTCCTAGACTCATCCCGAGGAGTCGGGCAAATTKGGTATGCGTTTTCGTTCAGCATCAGTACCAACTAAACACTCTGGGGTTTCTCTGGTGCTGATGTACGTCAACTCCTTGCTAGTTGGCAAAAGCTTAGGTTTTTGATATCTTCCAAAATGCAAATTTCGACCCGACCCAATGACCTATAACCCATTCCAATCCCCTCTCCTAAGAAAGAATAAGAGAAGAGAATGAAGGCTGTTGTAATGGATCAAGGAAACATTTAATATAATCTTTTGCTCTATAAATTAATCTTTATACTGGAATGTTGGTGACATGTCAAAATGTTTCTAGAAGTTTAAGCAATGTAATACTGCTTCTTTTGATCAACTTTGTTTTTCTGTTTTCTGGTGATTTGATCAAATCACTTTGATAAACAGTGTACATCCAAAGGAATACTGAAGTGAACAAACTTACTATAATGTAAAGCTAGTTAACATCCACATGATCACATTTGTCCTACCAAAAGTACTTTTAGACTAAGAAGTAGGATTCTGTCCTTTTTATCAAAAGCTGGATGTGATGTGCTCAAATCATCACCTTCTTCCTTGGTAGATGGAAGGGATAGAATTGCTTTGCCATCCTTAACATTACACCAACCAATTTATGTTACTTGTCGAAAATAAATAAATAAACCCACTAACCAATTTAGCTGACTTGACCGAACTCTTTTTCACTTTGACCATACCTTTCATCTATGAATAAAACATAAATGAGAACGATGTTTCATGCACTATATAATTTGATTGATCTCAGAGTTAGAGATTAGACCTTCCCATTCAAACTGAGAAAAAGGGCCATTATCCAATGTTGGTTCCAGCTATCAGGCTCGTCGGAGACGTAGATTAGGTGTGATCCTAATTTTTGGTGTTTTTTTTCCGCACAAAGTGGCTACCTTTAGACTTGAATCTATGTTCTCATGCTTGTTAATCTGAGATTTTACCATTATACCAAGTAATAACCCTCGCCTGTGCATTTTTTTCGCACCAACAAATCAAAAATGTGATGAAATTTTAATTTTTTTGATACATTTATATCTCTATTTAGTGTGGATATGTCCAGGGTAGTTTAGGGATGATGGTATTTATTTAGAGTTCAATAGTTGTTTTTACAAAAAAAAAAAAGGTGTAGGGAATATCTCTGCATCTCCTTAGTGAGTTTAAGATTATTTAGTATGTATGTATCCTCCTTGATAAAATTTTTGCTTCAAGAAATAATATGGTGTTAGAGCTTTTGTTGTTGTAAACCTTGAAGAGTTTTTCTGCAACTAATAAAGCTGTGTTTGGTTGCAGTGTAAATTTATTTGCACTAGTACAAATGTATAGGAGTGCAAATGTAAAAAAAAATGCAAATTCTTGTTTAATTTTGTTTTGGATTTTGCTTTATCCTGCTTCATGTCTTAATTTACTTCATTTGTACTGCAATCAAACAAAATAAACTAAAATTTGAAAAAAAAAGGTCAGAATTTACACTCAAATCGTTTGCACTGCATGGTTTTGCATCAGTGAAAATATATTTGTATTGCAACCAAACACAGCCTAAAAGGCAATTTTTCAAGATCTATGCATCTTAAGGTGTTGTGCCCCACTATTTTTGCCCAAAAACCCTCTTTTTTGGCCTCAAATCCAATTTCTAATATTTTATAAAAATAAAAAATAAAAATTGAAATAAAAATATAAAATAATACTTATATATACATTTATTATATACAGGATATAATTATAAATTATTTTATTAATAAAACACTTTTTTATCGGACAACCAAACCATTGACCCATGGTCTAAAGACAAAACGGTTCAGCCTCCAGATCAGTTTTTAAAACACTGGTTCAGTACAAATACATATGCTATCACTTTTTCATGAACCGTGCATATATTTGTGTTTGCACTCTTGGTAATAGATGTAGTGTTTCCCTCATTAAATTATCAAACCAAAATAATAATGAAACAGAAGAGTAGATTGATGCAAACTCTTGATATATTATATAGTTATATTATTTTTACTATCGAGAGTATCAATACTTTTTTTTTTTTTAAAGCAGAGTATCAGTACTTTGAACCTTGTTCAGTGTACCATCAAATTAAATCAAGGTGCAACAATGCATTTGGATAATAAGTCGGTCATTCTTATTTCTAATGGATGGGTTTAAAGGAGGGATAGTGCAATTGGTTCATGAATCAATGAGAATACTTGTGGTAATGGATGGGGGATTTTTGGAACGCTCAGTTTGGAGGAAGTACAAATATAAATATAGAGTGCAAAATCTTGTATTTTATATTATTTTGTTTGTATTTGCACTGTACATATTTGTATTTGTATTCCTTCCAAACTGAGTTTTATATTTGTGATGAAGCACAGCTATGCTTGATTTGATAGAATAAAAGAAAAAGAAGAAATTCATAATATTGAAAAGGCTTTGACCAATCAAACGCCACCTGATCAATTTTGATGAAAAYCCACTGATAGGTTAATTCTTTTATAATGATGCCGGTTGATTGGTTATTAGTTCTTTGGATATCATGCCATTCTCATGAAAAAAATATAGCAGCTTTGACAAATTTTGTTAGGAACTTTTTCTCAAATTTCTGTTTCTTTTATTTTTCTATCGAACCAAGCAGTCTTAACCCAAACATTGACGTCACATAGTAAAGAAAATTGAGTTGTGCGTGACAAAAGATCATTTTCAACCACTGAGAGGAATAACATGTCGTACGCAGGGAAAGTTCCCAAACAGGCCACATTTTGTTTACTTTTCCCAAACAGCCCCCCCTCTCTCTCTCTAATTGGATTGGTCTACAGGGTTAGCACTTATTCACCTTGACCATACTTGATGGAGGAAGATTTGGACTGACCTTTTGGCCACCCAACACGTGGAAGCAATCGACAGTGACCTGGCAAGAGCGATAGCTCGGCATGGCAGGGCGCTCAAGGCA